GTTTTGTGATTCTTTTTATCGATAGATACAGGGGAATACTATGGGGACCAAGTTTGCTCCTAGCTACAACAACCTTTTTATGGAGGACTGGGAAGACTTCACTTTTTTTATCAAATTCAAAATGTAAGATAAACTTGGTCGTATACCGACAGTCTATCAATGACCTTTTTTTAAAAAAAAAAAAAATCTGGAATAGTTCTGATACAGAACTAAAGATTTCTAAATAACAAAAATAGGGGAATAAAAATGTAAATTTTCTGGATCTGGAAATTTACATTGAAACTAACACGTTAAACACAAAGACTTGAAAAGGTACATACTAAGACTTTTATTCATTCTACCAGTTGCCATTACTCACCCTGGTTAAATTGCAATCCACAAAAAAGCCAATTTATTCAACTAAAACAAAACTGCACTAATCCAGAATTTATTTCTGAACAAGCCCACTCCTTAAAAGACAAACTCAAAAGGAGAAGGAATGACGATGAAAAAAACCAAAACTCTAATCAAAGACATTGGACATCTGCACAGAGGGAAATGAATCCAATATCAAAACCTGAAAAAGGCGACAGTAGCTATCGTTCTGGATTTTAAAAAACAAATGTAATAAAATTACAAAAAATATTCAAGATACATTAGAGAAATCAGACACTCATATTCTTCAAGATAACCCCAATATTATTCTTAGAGGTGCCCCCAGGTTTATGTGTTTACCTACGGTGAGGGAAAATATATCGTTTTTGATCCCCTGCTGATTTTGAACGTTTGTCCACTGACAATCAATCGGAGTTTGGAATGTGATTGATTGCTTCTGTGGACAGGTGTCTTTTATACAGGTAACAAGTTGAGATTAGGAGCTGATTACCTGTATAAAAGACACCTCGGAGACAGAAATCTTGCTGATTGAGAGGGGATCGAATACTTATTTCACTCATTGACATGCAAATATTTAACTTTTTATAACAAGTAATTTATAATTAGATCAATACTATCTACTTAGTGTATTTCATAGAGCTTGCTCTTTTTTTAATGCCCATTTTTATCTATGGTCATATTTTTATTCACCACTATTTATTTATTTTTTATTTTTTATTCTTTATTTTTTCATTCGATAGGTACAGCAAGTACAGTTCAACATTTTGGGCTTGCACAGAAGCCAACATTTAAAGGTAACTTCTTAGCAAAACAATACGCAAGATGAGCTTACAATACTATCCTCTTATTGATCCCAATGTGCCTTGCCTCCTACCGAGGATTTGTATTTTTAAAAGAAAAAACTTTTTTTTATTTTTTATTATTGACAACGGTTAACAGTTTATGACCAGGTATCAGAAAAGAAACAAAAAAAAAGAAAAAAAGAAAAAAGAGAGCACAGAACCCATAAAAGAGGAAAACATTGTACGCTTTGAACAGCATGGATCACTGTAACATATGCTCTCTGTGCTGTGATAACCTCTTAATATTTGTTCCAGTGTTTTCAGTGTACCTTTTGTCCTCTCTTTATGTTTTCTAAGAGGTATACCTGTGCTTCCTATCAAGCTATCAATGGAGGAGCAGATTGTTGGTTTGGCCTAGGTGTATACTGGGTTATATGTCTCCCTAGTACCTTCTCCTAATCTAGTACGTTCTGGTCAGCTTTCCTGTGACTCTATTAACCGCCCAATTTGTAATTAAATAGGTGAATGGGAAAGAATAGAGAAAAGAGAAAAGGAAGATATAATTCGAGTGGCGGCAGCCGTCCAAGGCCTTTTTTTTTTCCCCCAAGAGTTCTTTTACGCTAATTCGTGGAGTATATTGTGGGGGGGGGGGGGAACGAGCAAGGGGCCGCTTTTCCTCAGCTAAGTGGGCTTACTTCCCATGGTGCCCAAATTTTTTGAAACTTTTTTGGGTTCCCCTTACTCTGGCTGTGAGGTCGTCCATAAGGTGGACCTCCCTTATCCTGTTGAGGACTCCCGCTATGGGCGGTGTTGTAGGTTTTATCCAGTCGGACACCACTGCTAGTCTAGCGGCTAGGGTTATCTTATGTAATAGTTTCTGTTCATGCCTAGTCCACCCATCTATAGTTCTGCTTAAGAGATATACCCATGGGTCTAGTGGGGGGGCTCTGTTGAATACCTGGGTTATTATACCCCTAACCGTCAGCCAGAAGCGTGCTATATTCACCACTATTATGTATCTACCATCTCCATTATATATATAAATATGTGTGTGTATATATATATATATATATATTTATGTCTGTAATATATATTAATATTATGCACTTATATAATTTTTTTTATCTCATATATTTCATGTATTTTTATTTTACCTGATTTTTTGCTATATATTTGTACTATTTTATATATTGTACACAGGTACTGTTTATTGATGCACACATACTTACGTTAGCCATTTTATGTATTCTGCACATGTACTGTATGTGATGTTCATATATACTTTTATATGTATTTTTTAATATAATAGTGATACATAATATATACATATTGCCCCCTTTTATCTGCACATGTTATCTCTTACCCACTCCCCCTTTTTGCAAATGGCGTAGCAGTTCCCCCTTTTGAGTCTTATGACTCTAGATCTGGGCTCCAACGCCATCTGGACGGTCATAATTGACGGACTTGGTCTCCTTCTACCGCCTCGTTTTAATTAGTTTTTAATCCCCTCCACCTTCCCTTCATTTAATGTACATCCACATAAGTTTATTTTCGTTACTTTTTAACCGTGGCCGATCTGATCAGTTGCCATGGGCTGCGGCGTCATCTTTGTTTTGAGTTATTATGCAAATACTGATGTAGTTCGATAGCCTAACATGGTTCCTCACACTGAAAGCTTGGTATCTTTATTTGAAAGTACCTATATTGGTTGTCTTTCCTACCTCTTTTAACCTATATATTAGCCATTTATAATATTTTATGTTTTCATGTTAATTACCTGACGGTTACATGCAGGGGCGTACCTGGAGCATTTGTGTACTGTATGCAGTTTGTGTGTGTGTGTGTAGTGTATGCAGTGTGTGTGTGTAGTGTATGCAGTGTGTGTGTGTGTGTATATTGTGTGTATGCTGTGTGTGGGTATAGTGTATAGTGTGTATGCAATGTGTGTGTATAGTGTGTATGCTGTGTGTGTGTATAGTGTGTATGCAGTGTGTGTGCTTATATTGTGTATGCAGTGTGTGTGTGTGTGTGTATAGTGTGTGTGCAGTATGTGTGTTTGTATAGTGTGAATGCAGTGTTTGTGTATGCATTATGTGTGTGTATAATGAGTGTATAGTGAGCAGTGTGTATTCTTTGTGCGTGTGTGTATCCCCCGCTACGTGACTCTTACCTGTGTCCACGGAGGGGGGACACAATACAGTCCCTGGTGGTCCGGTGGCACAGTATGGTTGCCCAGTGAAGAGGGGCCCAGGAGTCTCCACATCCAGCAGCAGCATGTCCTCTGTTCTCGCGATCCCCAAGAGTGTTGCCGCGGGTTGCCATGGCAACGCTCCGGCATCCATTGCGTGCGGATTGCGAGAACAGAGGACATGCTGTTGCTGGATGGGAAGCAAACGTGTAGACTCCTGCAAGCGGCATGAAAGTGCACCCCGGGCACCCCCCTAGTGAGTGGCACCTGGGGCTGCCCGCCCCCTACCTTAGTACGCTACTGGTCACTTGACTGTGACTTCACATGATCATCCCCTAGCCTGTAACACCTTGACAAATGCCTGAAAATGGGTGAAACATGCTAGTGTGCTATCTTACTTTGTTTTATTTGTTTTTATATGCTGTTCTCAATAAAATTTGTGAATTTTTTATTATTCCTGGACCTTTCTTTTTTGTCTTGATGTTTGAACATCATCTTCCTTGGTGGGGAACATGCCACTTAAGCCTTATAGATTGAGCAAGATCATTTTTTGCTCTGCACAATTGAGTACATTTCCTATAACTTTATTACTTTTAACCTATACAGTGAGCACTATATATAATATTTTGGTTTATTCACATAACACCACGGTGAGGATTTCAACTCTATATCTGACTGGGGAAACTCATATATCCAAGAATGGAGATCTACTATTCACTAGGAGCCATAAGAAGTCTCCAAATAATGTGAGTGTGCACTTATATATATCTACACCATCCAATATATATATAATGCTACTCTATATTGGTGTCACTCTCTGTTACTTTATATAACTCTGGATTACCCTCTTCTGGACCAAGATAACGACTACATATCCACAGGCTGGGATTTTAACACCAAGGCCTGCTAAATTGGAGCTAATTATCAGCTCTGTAGACTGCAAGTCTTTTGTTTTCTTCAATCAATAAGTTACATAAGACACTATATTCTACTCATTGTCATCTCTTCTCATTGCATATTGACCTGTATCTGAGGATTTTTACAAGGCACTACTTACACTAAAATATATTGACATGCTTTCACGAAAGGCCTCGCTGGTCTCTTATAGAGGCCCCAACATAAGAATATATTTAATTTCATGATGAAAATGCCAGCTATATAATGTTTTTACTATTTTGTCTTTGCCAAACAGGTTCTGGCATATGTCAAGGTAAAATATATTGATTTGTAATTAATTAGTACTGTGTGTATGTAGAAGTCACCTTACTTGTTTGATATTATTAGTTTCTGTATATTTTCTGTAATATTTCTGTGTAAGGTAAACTGAAACTAATGCAAGTCAGAGGGAGCAGCTTAAAAAATCCAAACAAGGTAACACAGAATAGGTTTGTTAAGGATCCCAACCTTCCAAATCTGGACCCCTAGTCATATTACATACATTCCCATTTCACAACTGCCTCTCCCTTTTCTTCTGTTCTATTGTATTTCACGTCACCAATTGTTGCTCTTTCATAAAGGCTGTCTGGCTCGGAGCTTAAATATTGCTGGACACTAAAACCCACCCATCAGGGTCAATCGAGTCACATCTGCTCAGTCGTGCGATAAGTTTGGGACTTTAGGTAGGAAAAAGCACAGACAAAAGTTCACTTTTGACAGAAGAGTGCCAAGAGAAGGGGTCGCATTCTCCAGTGAAGCTTTCGCTGTGGCAAGTTGCCCACTTTATAACTTTACCTTGAACTGTTCTGCTTTTTTTAGATTCTTTTAGATACTTTTCATAATATGACTTTGCATTTGTGCTTTAAATTTTAAAGTACCTGCTCTAGAAGGACCACAGATGTACAACTACTCATACTAAATTAGAAAGAAAAGTAGATATATATTGAGAGAATAATGAATAATGTAAGATTTGTACTGATGTCTATAGCTAACTTTGGCTATAAATGCATTTCTATCAAAGATGATGATTAGTTCCATATTGGTTGAATGTTTTATTTGTATTTTTTATGTTTTTTTTACTTTCAAATAGACACTATTTACTTTTTTTATAATGTTTGATAGCTAAAATTGTTAGGTGTTCAGTGGAATGTACACTTTCGGAAAGTATTCACTTGTGAATGGAGAACTGATTTTGAATTTTTGAGCCAAAATATCTGAATTTTAAACATTTGCCAGATTAAGTTTGTAGATAGCTTGGTTGTATTGGACTACATTTATTTTGCTTTATTTCTAACTAAAAATCTAATTGGATTTAAAAAAAAACTAAATATATGTTATATTTAATTTGTTTTCCTACATATTATGCAGAGTATGAATTAATGGGTTTTCATACAGTAGTAAATTGTAGCTATTATTGACCCATATTATTTAATATTTAATGTTTCACATGTGCATATAAACATTATTTTAATCTTTGAGTAATTTATTATTATTAATAATAATTCTAGCAGGGTATTTGTATTGATGTAACTATTAGTATTTATGTTTTTCACTGAAAGGCAAGTTCATTTTTTATCTGCCTAATTTTATAAGCGCACTATACCCTACACTTTATAAAAATTCAGCTACTGAGAAGATACACAGTTTTTTAATACTTTGCATTTTGACACACTGACTTGGATTCTCCATTTTACAGATTATAAACCATGGGAGACTGGAGCTTCTTGGGGAATATTTTGGAGGAGGTGAATGAACACTCTACTGTGATTGGTAGAGTCTGGCTGACGGTCCTGTTTATTTTTCGGATCCTTATCCTAGGAACAGCCGCAGAGTTTGTATGGGGTGATGAACAGTCCGATTTTGTGTGCAACACCCAGCAGCCAGGTTGTGAAAATGTCTGCTATGATGAGGCTTTTCCTCTCTCCCACATTAGGCTGTGGGTCTTGCAGATCATCTTTGTCTCCACGCCATCGCTGGTGTATGTGGGGCATGCGGTCCACCACGTTCGGATGGTGGAGAAAAGAAAGGAGAGAGAAGAAGCAGAAATGAGCAGGCAGCAGGAGATGAATGAAGAACGGTTGCCTCTTGCTCCTGATCAAGGAAGTATCAGGACCACCAAAGAAACTAGCACCAAGGGAACAAAGAAGTTTCGCTTGGAAGGAACACTCTTGAGAACCTACATTTGTCACATCATCTTCAAAACACTTTTTGAAGTGGGGTTTGTCGTGGGCCATTATTTTCTGTATGGTTTCAGGATTCTTCCCCTGTACCGTTGCAGCCGGTGGCCTTGCCCTAATATTGTGGACTGTTTTGTTTCTAGACCTACTGAGAAAACTGTGTTTATCTTGTTCATGTTAGCAGTGGCTGCCGTGTCGCTTTTCCTAAATGTAGTAGAGATCAGCCATTTGGGGTGGAAGAAGATTCGTCTTGCTTTCCACAGGAATGCTGATCACCAGCCACACCAGCTCCTGGGTGAAGTGACTGAGAAACCTTTGCATTCCATTGCCATCTCCTCCCTCCCAAAGTCCAAGGGTTACAAGCTATTGGAGGAAGAAAAGGTTGTTTCCCATTTCTATCCAATGACTGAAGTTGGATTGGAGGCGAGCCCACTTCCTACTCATTTTAATGGGTATGATAAAAGCAGCACAGGCCTTCTAGAAGACATCTCCAAGGCATATGATGAAACCCTGCCATCCTATCGTCAAGCTGAAGAGCAAGAGGCAGTGAAAGTGCAGGTGGCTGAGACCCTAGAACAGGCAACCTCTGAGCGTACCCCTTCAGTGAGAGCCCCTTCGGTGCGTGCACCCTCTGACCGTGCCCCCTCTGAAAGAGCAGTGTCTCGTGCTGTTTCTGAGTATGCAGTTTCAGAAAGAGCTCCCTCTGAGCGTGCACCATCAGTCCGAATACCTTCAAACAATGCGCTCTCTGAAAGAGCACCATCTGAGAGAGCTCCTTCCCGTGCTGCCTCTGATCATGCCCCATCTGAGCGTGCACCATCTGAGCGAGCTCCCTCCCGTGCTGCCTCTGAGCATGCTCCTTCTGAGTGTGCACCCTCTGAGCGATCTCCCTCCCGTGCACCCTCAGACAATGTCCCTATTGAGGGTGCACCCTCTGAGAGATCTCCTACACGAGCACCCTCTGATTATACCCCTATTGAGTGTGCACCATCTGAACGTGCAGTTTCACGTGCTGCCTCTGAACATGCACCTTCTGAGCGTGCACCTTCTGAGCGTGCACCTTCAAGGGCATCCTCCGAGCATGCACCACCTGAGCCAATACCTCCACAAGCATCACCTTTACCTGAGCTCTTAGATAGCCCACCTTATTTGAAATCAGAACCAGCATTACCAGATCTTACACCATCTCAAATTATTCCTACTGAGTATATTCCCTTATCACCAGCACCCTGTCAGGCATTTAATGAGTGCTCGCCCTCTCAAGCTGCAGTTGAACAAATCCCATATGATCGTGCTCCATCTAGGGCTTTCTCAGACCACACTGGCTCGGAACATGGATTTCCAGAGCCTGGTGTTTGTGAGCCAGATCTTCCAGGCCCTGAGGTGCCATTGCTATGTGTCGAATTAATCCCAGATTCTAGATCTCTGAGCAGGTTAAGCAAAGCAAGCAGCAGAGCCCGTTCAGATGACTTAACAGTATGAATTGAAAGAACATCTAGAAAAAATAAAACCAAATATAACCATTTTGGATATTGAGCTGACGAGAGTTCTCTGCAGGTAAAAAGTACAGGCTGTCCTTCAGCTCCCCTGTACTTGGGTAAAATGTACAGATAAACTTTAGTGTTCCATTTTTACAGTAAGGTTAGATTTGTCATTTGTAGAAAATGGAAGGAGCTGTAGAAATTACATGTCCATTTTCTGGTGTAAAATCTTTCAAAAATAAGGGGGCTAATGTGCAACATTTTATTGGTCAATGTTTTTTAGGCAGTGAGCTATAACACAGTGTCACAATCGATTCCAAAATAGTCAAGCTCTAAAAATTATCCCTCCATTATTTGATCTAAATATGAAAACAGGGTAATTATGAGCCCTAGAATTATAGAATATATAGATATTCTGGATATATTCAGCAATCTTAGAAAAAAAAATCCCACACCCCCTTCCCCCAAAAAAGGAAGAAAAAAATGCTTAATATATTAGTATTCATTTTAGACAGTCATATTATTGTAAGACTCATAAGACCAGTTACGAGGCCAAGAAAACATCAATAAGTAAAAAAAATAAAATGATAATAAGCTATTATCTCAGTTAAATAGACGGGTTTTGTTCACCAAACATGCAATTAATAAAAACAGACAGAAATATCTTAATTTCTCGTTGTAGTGGTTAGTTAGTAAATAGGATTAAAAGAATAAGAATGTTAAAATGTTACAGCGCACAAGTCAAACAAACCAATCCCTGAAATTTTTACCCCACAACAGTATGTGTTTTGCTCCGTTGGAGTCGTTTGTTTTTTGTGAATGCACAATGTTAGTCACCAAAGCATTTCTTTTTTCTCAGTGGCTGTAATTTTTCTCCGGATTCAAGATGTAACTTCAAGTTGTGTTCAATGTCACTGTAACGCAGCACAAAAGGCAAAGAAAAAAAAAAAGAAAAAAAGGTAGAGGCAGAGGAATTCTGTATTTTACGTGTTAAGAAAGAAAAGAAAAAAAATGAAAAAGAAAAAAAACAAATAAAAAAATAACAAATAAACTCATAAGGAAAATAAAACCACCAAGTACAGATTTCTAAACATGATGAAATGAACGAAAATGGGTGTCACTGTGTCACCCATTCTAACGATTTCTTTTTCATTTCACAGTCAGGCTTTTATACCTCAAAATTCTACAATCTCAAATGATTTTAAAGATACATGAAAATTTATATATATTTATATATAAATATATTTGAATAAATAAATGCATCCATATATTGGGAAAGACCTTTGGAATATTTGGGCTTTGGAAGATGCCAAACTGAGTATATGGGTGATATTTTAAGATGTTTACAAAAACAATTAAGAGAATGTGTTGTATATCAAGGCGTAGATGCAAGCGACTGCCATTCTATAAAATGAAACAGCAAAGAACGGAAGGGTAGAAGTTTTAAGAAACGTGCAATCAGGACAGTGACAATCGTATAGCATGGAATTGTGCAAATCATTACGTATTTGCAAAACTGCTTTTTGTTGTGTTTCTTTTGTTGTGTTTTGTTTGCTGTTTGTTTGAGAGGTACACTGAGGTATCAATTATGTAAAAAAAAAAAAAAATTTAAAAAAAGGATCTAAAGTCATAAGTGGGCTATACTAGATTAAGGGACCCTTATCTGACTAAATTTACAAATGAGGGGAGCTATATTTTGATATCATGCTTGGCCAGTGTTGTGACCAAAGAGTGCAGGGTGGCAGGAGGCCTAGATTAAAGACCAAACGACGTGTGCTCCAGAAACGCATGTTCAATGTGGCCAGCAAATGTTGATTTTTGTTGCTGCTGCATGTGGATAAATATACACGGCATCATGATATACACTTCAATATTTGTGAAAATTGTACTCTGGCTCTATATTAGAGATTATTGGATCTGATGCTCAGTAATAGGTAAAACTGGCCAGTAAAGACCACATCAGATATAACATAAATAAGATAGATAACCTGAAACTGAGAACTTTTGAAGAAGATATATATATATATATATATAATAGATCACTTTGTAATTGATGGATAAGTTAACCCGTAGATGTTTAAAAGGTGGTTCACAGATATATTGAATGATATTTTAAATTGACTGAGATGTGATAGAGCTGTATACCACCGTGATTGGATGGAGAGAGCTTCATACCACCAGGATTTGGATGCTGGGAGTTGAGCATACATTACTCTGAATAACACCTAGCAGTAGATGGAGGAGATAAAATACTACCTAGCTTTGGCTTCAAGAAAATGTAGAGTTCTGTCTTTGGAGCAAAGGGTATAGGTGTAGACTCCTTGTCCTATTTACTTGGAGCTATTGAGTCAGGGATCTGTAGATCATCTGGCAGGAGATGCAGGGAGCTGTGAATGCCAGGGGTAGTAGGCCATCTGGCTATGGATACAGGTAGCTGAGGATGCAGGATGCTGTAGACCATCTGGGTGTGGATGCAGATAGCTGAGGATGCAGGATACTGTAGACCATCTGGCTGAGGAAGAATGATTCTGTAGACCATCTGGCATTGGATGCAGGTACGCTGTAGACCACCTGGTCAAGGATGCTGGTAGTTTAGGATGCAGGATGCTGTAGATCATCTGGCTGAGGATGCAGGATGCTGTAGACCAGAATACCTGTGGATGAAGGTAGTTGAGGATGCAGGATACTGTAGACCATCTAGTTGAGGAACAAGGATTCTGTAGACCATCTGGCTGTGGATGCAGGTACGCTGTAGACCACCTGGCCAAGGATGCTGGTAGTTTAGGATGCAGGATGCTGTAGATCATCTGGCTGAGGATGCAGGATGCTGTAGACCAGAATACCTGTGGATGCAGGTAGTTGAGGATGCAGGATACTGTAGACCATCTAGTTGAGGAACAAGGATTCTGTAAACCATCTGGCTGTGGATGCGGGTAGTTAAGGATGCAGGATACTGTAGACCATCTGGCTGTGGATGCAGGTAGCTGTGGAAGAAGGATTCAGTAGTCCAGCTGGCTGAGGATGCAGGATACTGTAGATCATCTGGTTGAGGAACAAGGATTCTGTAGACCAGTGGTTCCCAACCCAGTCCTCAAGTACCCCCTAACAGTCCAGGATTTAATGATTACTCAATTGTGTCTAAGGTGTTTTGGGGGAAAAAATAAAAACACTTTAGACACAACAGGGTAATCCCTAAATCCTGGTCTGGTATGAGGTACTTGAGGACTGGGTAGACTATCTGGCTGAGGATGCAGGATACTGTAGACCATATGGCTGTGGATGCAGGTAGCTGAGGATGCAGGATACTGTAGACCTTCTGGCTGTGGATGTTGGAAACTCTATACCATCTGATTCTGCATACAGGAAAATTATACCACCTGCCTGTGGATACAGGGAATTCTGGATGCAGAAAGCTGTATAACTCCTGATTTTGAATGCAGGGATCTGCAGAAAAATGGATTTGAGGGTAGGGAGTTATAGATGCTGTGTGCTGTAGACCATCAAGCTTTGGGGCAGGTATCTGTAGACGTCTTGTTGTGGATGCAGGCAGCTGTAGACCATCTAGCTTTGGAGGCAGACACTTGAGGAACCTGTAGACCATCTATGTATAAGAGGAGTTCTGGATGTAAACTATAGACCAGCAGCAGAACCACAGGTTGACCTGTTCCGACTCTAAGGATGTTAAAATACAGGAGCTGTAGAAGTTGCAAATGTGCAAATCCTAGGCCCCTAAATAGTACTTGATAGACCCCTAGAGATGTACCCTGGTCGAATAACGAGTGTCAGTCAGGAACAATAGGCATGTCTTGGTATAGTAGTGCCAGTTTAGACTTTGTTTAACATGTCATAATGTATAACCAGTGTCTAATTACTTTGATCTTCTTTTTTCTTTCTCTATCTTGTTTCCACATCTGGGGAAATCTTGGGAACGGCTGTGAGCTTAAATCCTAGGTAAGTTAAGTGTCCATTGTAAGTAAATAAATTAAATTAAAGTTTGTTCTTATATTTAAAAACATTGATAAAATCACCAGAGGATATTTTGCGAATCTTTTACTCATATAAAACATTCTATATTTAAATAAAGTGCACATATATAGGAGTGGGGGAGATATCTTGAGGTGCAATAATGTTGGGGTTGGGGGGAATATAGCATTGGGGGGACAGGGATATAAACACAATTGATGGAGTTAGATGGTGGCACCAGGTATGTCAAATTAGAAAACAAATCCACCCAAATCCACACTTGCTTGCAATATACATAGTACATGATGTAGGAATAGGAGAGATAAAGCTGTGCAAGGAAATGGCAATAAATATGGGGGGGAAGAACTTTTACTTAAAGGGACACTATAGTCACCAGAACAGCTTTATCTTAATGAATCAGTTTTAGTGTACAGGTCATACCCCTGCAGTCTCATTGTTCAAATATCTGCTAGTTATGAGTTCAATTAGGAGTTAAATAACTTTGTTTATGCAATCCTAGTCACACCTCCCTGCATGTGACTTTAACAGCCTTCCTAAACACTTCCTGTAAAGTGAGATCTAATGTTTAAACTCCCTTTATTGCATGCCTGCTTAATTTAGAATTTCATACTTCTTGCTCTGTCAGTAGCCTGCTAGACCTTGTAGGAGCCTCTTGTAAGTGATTAAAGTTCAATTTACAGAGCAGGAGATAAACATTTCTAAAGCAAGTTAACATATGATTGAAAATGAAACCTTTTTCTTATGCATGTTGAGTCAAAGCCAGGGGAAGTGTGGCTCAGGCAGAAAGAAAAGTGATTTAACTTCTTCATGGCAGAGAATTAAGCAGTGAGACTGCAGGGGCATGATCTATACACCAAAACTGCTTTATTAAGCTAACATTGTTTTGGTGTCTGGGCGTGGAGCTCCAACTCCAAGTGGGCACTCCTTGAGCTGGCTGGGAAATTGAAAGATCTACCTGCATGGCCCCACACTCCCTCACTTCACAGAGGAAGTGTTGTGCTCTGTACCAATATTTACCAATACAGACCGCTTTAAGAGGGCATCGGCAGTCCTCTGGTACTTCTCCATGACTCCAAAAGCCTGAACCGTGAGGACATTGTTAAAGTGAACTGCATCTAATATTGGTGCCGATCCCGAAATCCCCCTCTGGACCACCAGGGATCAAGCTCACACTTGACTGGATCACCAAGGAAGATCTCAGAGTTGAGGGTAGAACATACACACACATACACACACCACTCATTCAGCTACCACACATACATCTCTCAACCAGCGCAAACAGACATAGAGCCTCCCCATACATCTCTTATTCTTCTCCAGACAATTTCACACACAACACTCAGCAACCACCACAGACACATCAATCACCGTAACAGAGTCCAGGGCTCCAGAAAGCACCCAATCTATCACCCTGCCTTGGGCCCCATGCAACCTAATGTTCTGCACACACTAACACTATACACAAAACACACATATAGAAACTACACACACATAAATCCATGCATTCAAACATCTGAACTGCACTGAATGTATTACTTACTCATACTATAAAAAACATTCACACTGACACTATCATGGGTATTTACTCAGCACACAGCCTGAATTTCAGAATTTCAGTGATAACTCCTGATTTCCCCAGAATTGTATATGTGGTGTTTATTTAGAACAACTAAACAGTTAATTCAGAGAATTGTATCAAATATGATCATCTGGCTAAAACTTAGCATATAATTAGTCTGAATAGGGGCCATCAATAAAATCTTGTTGTTGTAATGATAGTTGTGTTACCAAATGCTGATAGGCTGGTTATGTTATGTTTGTGGTTTTGAACAGGGCAATGCATCTAATTGGGTCAGGAATTGAGTAAATGGGAGTGATATAGGCAGAAGCAATCATATCAGGACGCTTTGGGTGACCAACTGAGTTGATTTGGATTAGGTTCTGATTTGGAACCAATTTAATTTGGAGGCAGCTTTGTAAATTACAGATAGAAAAACTTGTAAATTAGTTCTACGATTTATACTCCTAATTGCCCTGAAAACTTACCAATTTATTGTTTTCAATTTTGTAAAATAATTCTTAATGTCCTTTTCTGTTGAGCTTATTCTGAGACTACATTGAGCATCTTGCGAGCATGCATATGTACGCCTGAACACGCAATTCTAATATAAGAGTTAACCCCTTAAGGACACGACATGTGTGACATGTCATGATTCCCTTTTATTCCAGAAGTTTGGTCCTTAAAGGGTTAAAGGGACGCTATAGTCACCAAAACAACTTTAGCTTACTGAAGCAGTTTTGGTGTACAGATCATGCCCCTGCAGTCTGCTTATAAATTTTCTGCTATTTAGGAGCTAAATGCCTTTGATTATGTAGCTATAGTCACACCTCCCTCCATGTGAATTGCACAGCATTCCCAAAGACTTCCTGTAAAGAGTCATCTAATGTTTATACTTCCTTTATTGCAAATTCTGTTTAATTTGGCATTTCTCATCTTCTGCTCTGTTTATAGTTTGCTAGACCTTGCAGGAACCTTCTGTGTATGAGTAAAATGTTCAATTTACAGTGCAGGAGACAAAAATATTTAAAGTAAGTTACATCAGAATAAAAATAAAACCATCTTGTCTCATGCAAGCTGTGTCAGTCACAGCCAGGGGAGGTGTGGCCTTGGCAGCACAATCAGAAACAAAAGTTATTTAACTCCTAATTCACAGAGAATTGAGCAGTGAAACTTCAGAGGCATGATCTATACACAAAAACAGCTTCATAAAGCTAAAGTTGTTTTGGTGACTATAATGTCCCTTTAACCCCTTAAGGACACATGACATGTGTGACATGTCATGACTCCCTTTTATTCCAGAAGTTTGGTCCTTGAGGGGTTAAGGAAATTTATGCTTTTTATCTCATATTTTATAAAGTGCAAAAATAAATCTAGATGCATAATTTCAAGGATTCAAGGATCCAGCCTTGAATGTCTTATTAAAACATAACGTATTAATAAATATGTGGAGAAGCCCTTTGGCCACTATGATCAGACAGGATACCAACGTAAAGGGGGTCAAGTCTCTCAATGGGGAAACCAAGGTCTCCCTTTTTGCAGATGATGTCCTCCTTACTCTGACGGACCCGATGGTTTCAATTCCATCGGTACTGGATGTTATATCGAACTATAGTAGCTTTTCGAACTATAAGGTCAATATGAAAAAAAAACTAATTTTAGCCTCTTTTTTATCTGAGACTCAGAAAGATTTTTTGACAGCACATTTCCAATTCTCATGGGCAAACGATACTATTGGTTATTTGGGGATTAAAATATCTTTTGATATAGAGAGGATGATACAATCAAACTATGATACATTACTAAGAGATTTGCAACAACTGGTAGACACTTGGAGGAAGATTGAGTCCTCATGGATAGGAAGATTAAATATGATCAAGGCATTTCTGATACCTAAACTTATATATTATTTTAGGGCGATTCCTTATAGACTGGGGAAAGGTATTCTTAACCGTTTTCAAACTTTGATTTCCAAATGTATTTGGGCTAATAAACCACCTAGGATAGCTTTTGATACTCTTCGAAGGAGCTACCAGAAGGGCGGTATAGCATTTCCAGATGTTGATAAAATCCATGAAGCATGTATGGCGACTCATCTTTTACAGTGGCTAGACAAGGAACGGGGATCTATATCATGGCTTACTCTAGAACAGGAGGATAGCCCTAGATATAAATTGTTTGTTCTTTTTTGGATGGGTTTGCTAAATTTGGGTGAATTGGATATCAAGAATTTTTCGAATCGAATATTGATAGATATGATTAATACTTCTAGAATTCTAAATAAAAAATTGAAGCTAGAAGATAAATTATTATATAGAGTTCCATTAGTGGTCCTACAACATATAATGGATAATATAAATGTTCAATCTTGGACACACCTAGGCCTAACGAAGATCTCGGACTTATGGGATGGATTTAAACCCATCCCATTTATACAACTGCAAGAAAAGTTTAATCTTTCCCCTAGAGATCTTTTTCAATATCTAAGGATTAAGAATTTTATTCTATCTTGGACTATACTTAAGGACCACATTGTTAATCCCCTTACTGTAATATATAAAAAGAAGGGAGGGATTTCTAGATTCATTAAGGTGCTAGAATCAACGGAACAAGACTCTCATGTTACCTCCTTTGTTAAATGGGAACAAGATATTGGGGAATCCTTTTCACTTCCGGAATGGTCCAAAGCTACACTCCTAGTTAAGCGCTGTATACATAGCGTTTCTCTTTATGAAACACATTTAAAGATAATATATAGGTGGTATATGGTACCGGCTAGACTATATAAAATATCATCTGTCCACTCTAAGTATTGTTGGAGATGTGGAAATGAGGAGGGTACTATTTACCATATATGGTGGGAGTGTCATGGTCTTGATAGTATAAAAATTCAAATGTTTGGCCTTATTAACTCTATCTTTAAGGAGATAAAAGAGATTAGCCCTCAACTTTTTCTCTTTAATATTGGTTTTCCTTCGCAAGATAAATATCAAAAATATCTTTTGACCCATATATTTTTTGCCATCAAAATATGTATAGCTAGGGCTTGGAAATCCTCTACTCCATTAATATGGCATAATATTATGGAGCAAATAGATTATCAACATAGGATGGAAATAAACCCTTTCTTTGGTATTAGAGACGTGACCAAATTATGGTTACCCTGGACAAATAGACAGAACTCATGATAACATATTGTGGTTCCCCCCATATCGAGTCTCAGAAGATGTAATTTATTTGTACTATAATTTTTCATACTTTATATTTATTTATTTATTTACTCATTTTCTTTTCTTTTTCTTTTTTTTTTTTTTCTATCAATGTGATAATTATATTATGGAAAAACCTGGCGTTAATTCCTCTCGATTACGATTGGTAGTGGACAAATGTAGCTGATTGTAATATACATCTGTACTATATGTGGAATCATTCGATGCTTGATTTCTTATTATATGTGGAATCATTCGATGCTCGATTTTTTATTTTTTTTTTTACAGTGTCTTATTACCATATACTGCCAGCTTATCTATGCTATTAACAGCTATATTGATGGTTTATTTTACTTATATTTATTTTTTTTTTTCTTCTTCTTCTTGTTTTTTGTTGTTTGTTTGTTCAATTTCTGTTGTTTTTTTTAACATTTATTTCTGTATATGGTTGTCTTAATGTGCTGGAGGTTTGCCTTTGGGGTACCTCACATGCAAATGTTAAAAAAAATTTTTATATGACAAATAAAGAAATATAAAAAAATAAATAAATAAATAAATATGTGGAGAAGCCAATAGATTTCACGCTCTAAAAATTCCTCTAGTAAATTAAGACTATTTAATTGACACATAATTTGCCCATTAGATGTATTATTCACACCAGTTGCAATTAATATGTTTCTTCTATGCATGAAGTATGAAGAACATTGGTTTGTGCATTTTATCAGTAATTGATGACATGAAATAGTAATATTGTCTGTAGCAAAAATTTATTTTCAATGGATTATTTTTTAATTTTTTTTTTAAAATGACAAAAATGTATTTATTTAAGAAGCAGAAGTAGCCTACGTTCTATAAATATTTAAAAACTGGTAGCTTTTTATTTAAAAACAAAATAAGAGTAGCGACGTATATGTCAGTTTTGCTAGAAAATCTGTGACATATAGTAATGCCAGTTAAGGGTTTATCTGCCTGTCCTTGTGTGATAATTTCAATGGTTTTGTATACGTTGTGGTGTGCTTATAGTCCTTGTCTTCAGGAGTCACCTTTTTGTATACAGTCTGTTCATAATAACAGCAGGCATCCTGGTCTATTGGTTTCCTATGACTGGATGGACGTCTATTTATTGATTTTTCGGTTCTGAAGGTTTGACCTGTTAAATTATGTCCGTAGCACCCTATGTATCTATCCTGCACTATGTAGTGCTCTGATTCATCAGTCTGTGTGGATCTTTTTGTAAGTGCATTGTTGCAAAAAGAAAAAAGTTGGAAGCTCAAAATTATATTAAATCTGGGGCAATATCAAGGGGGTAACCCTAACTATCTGCTGAGGGGGATTGTTACCTGACAAGTAATTTGGAATCTAAAAAGTTGAACTGGTTGATTTGTCTAATGAATGAAATTGATATCTACTAAATGCAACAATATTGTCTGTGCTTAGATTTATATTGAGAGTATACAAGCAATTGCAAAGAAGTTTTGAAAAAGAAGTGGTAGTATAGTTAATATAAACTGATGATATAAATTGTACTGTAGCTAGAGACAGTTATGTATGTGTGAGTAGTGGGAAAGATAGATGTAGAGACGTATAGATATGACTACAATCGTATAGAATAGACCAATTAGGGCGCACTCTGACTAATGTCTAGAGAGTATACCGGTATATAAAGATTCTAATAAACCATACATAACTGCCCCTTATTCAGTCCTAGCTCCGACTGAGAATTTAATGAACAACATACATAAGCTGTATACTAATAGGTTAATAACAGGATTGCCGCTGATATGGTGATAGTTGATATAGAAAGAAAATATTGGATTTCTAAATGTAGAATCCATACCTTAGTAAGCACATTGACAAATCTCTGCAAAATCTCTGAGTAGTTGCCAAAAATAGGGTATTAGGCTAGGTTCCTGTCACTGTGCCTTTGAGGGCACCTAAGCTGATAAAGACCTAAGTATAGAGTCTATGTTGCATATAACTGCAAAATTAACTAATAGCAGTTTAAATGGAAACCTATCAGATAACTGAATCTATACTATGATAGATCAAGATTTAAAAGGTTCACAGACAAAACAGACACTTGCTTACCCCACTAATATCATATAAATATATAAACATCTCATTATCAATGGTAGTCGTATAGTATATCATGCAGTGGATAAGGTAGTCTCTTGTAGAAACCCCAACGTGCATTTCGCTGATAAGCGGCTCTTCAAGGGGGATTGTAAGTGCATTGTTGTTCCGTTCCATGATGTGATTGTATTTATTGTGTTTTTTGCCACAGATGAATTCCATTAATTTTTTCCTTACGGACATATTAATATTAAAGGGACACTACAAACACAGAGAACTTGCCGAAATGCTTTATGTATGAAGAGTGGTTTTTCACATTTCACAAAAAGTACAGATTTCAATTGAAATGTACACTTTTATAAATTAATCTGGTTACACCCCCCCTAGCTGTCAGTCAGACAACCGGTCCTGTTACTTCCTGGTTTGGTTAACTCAGTGGAGCTAAACTCAAGAGGCAGCAATTGCCCAGAGGACCTGCCTTGCAAAGACTTCTCATTGAGCTGCATTGGGAAGTCTGTGATTGGACAGCCACAGAAAGTCTGGGCACGGTTAGAAGGCTGCACACAAGAGATTTTCTGCTTTTACAAGCTGCTCTTAGACATTCTCCCAGTGAACAAAACACATAATTAAATGCAGGCAAGTGTTCATTTAGGGTATAGATACTAAATCATTTTTTGTGGGCCAGTGGAATGTCCCTTTGAGGCACTGTTAAAGATATTTGAATGATATATTGCCAGTTATATTACCTTATTCACCTCTATTTCAGTGGTGACTTGACAGATGAGTGGTAGAATTTAGGTTTCGCTAGGTTTAGAAGCCTTTTATCAATTATTAACCCCTTCATTGTCAACAACACATTAGGACAGCAACAAGTGATTTGTCTGTGCCAGGCAATAATGTGGTTAAAAGAACACAAAACTATTGTACTGTATTAATATGGTGGTTTTGATACACAGACTCTGTCCCTGCAGTCTGACAAAGGTAAACATTGCTGTCTGTGATATTTAGCTATGTCAATCACTGTGCCTATGGTGATGTCACTCAGACAGATGTCAGTCAATCCATCAGTCAGTCCCTCAGGCGCCAAAGTTACTTCTTCTTAGAAGAGAAGCCTCAGATTGATCGAGTGCTACAGTGCCCAACACTGGATGAAAGATGAGTAAATGCAGTATATTTTATTTAAAAAGAAAGAGGACATACTCTGAATGCTAAGAAACTGCAACATTAAAAAAATGCAATGTAACATTAAAGGGTTACTTCAACACTTTTTAAATAAATCCAATTTTCACTTTGTAAGCCTACATATGTTTTAGCAATTTCTCCCCCCCCGTAAAACCCTGTAAACTAAGAATAAACTGCCTCTTTTGTGAGGTCCAAACAAATGTTTCTGTTAGAGAAGCATCTGATTGCACCATTCCCCCTGTCTCAGAGTGCATGCACACACTCTGAGTCATGAAGGGGATAAAGGAAGGGAGTGGAGTGGTGGACACGGGGTGCGATTTAAGTGCTGCCTGCAAGGGAGAAGCTTGTTACATCTGTAATTTTTGCACAGAATTGATATTGATACTGTCCTCTGTTCCAGGCTGCCTAATTCATGAATGTTGGGTGTTCAGCAAGCCCCCTGCACAAAAAGGGGAAGCAGAAACGCTGCACATACAGATTCCTACCACCATGACCACTTCAAAAAGCAGAATGGGTCATGAAGGTTGGAGTAACCTGTTAAAAATATTTATTTTTTAATGTTATTTTTAAAGGGACACTATAGTCACCATATAACTTTGGCTTAATGAAGCCATTTTAGTGTATAGATCATGCCTCTGAAGTTTCACTGCTCAATTCTCTGCCATTTACGAGTTTAATCACTTTTGTTTCTGTTTATGCAGCCCTAGCCACACCTCCCCTGGTTGTGACTCACACAACCTGCAAAAAAAAAAAATGGTTTAGTTTTCAATCAGATGTTAACTTACTTTAAAAGTTTGTATCCCCTGCTCTGTAAATTGAACTTTAATCACACACAGGAGGTGCCTGCAGGGTCTAGCAATCTATTAACAGAGCAGGAGATAAGAAATTCTAAATTAAACAGAATTTTCAATAACGGAAGTGTAAACATTAGATGACTCTTTACAGGAAGTGGTTAGAATGGCTGTGTAAGTTACATGCAGGGAGGTGTGCCTAGGGCTGCATAAACATTGTGCTTTAACTCTCTAAATGACAGAGAATTGAGCAGTACGATTGCAGGGGCATGCTCTACACACCAAAACTGCTTCATTAAGGTAAAGTTGTTTTGGTGACTATAGTGCCCCTTTAATGTTAAAGCTTCTTTAAGCAACAACATATTCTGTAGCACTTTCATTAGTATTTACCCTCAGTGGTAGTCCCTCTAGGCGGCTCACAGGTAACACAGATTATTTGAGAGCATTGGTGAACTTCAATAATTATTGTATGATCTTTTGATGACTGGCTGTTTATTTTGTGAATTTGTAAGACATTCTCTCTTGCATTCTGCTACTTTTTAATTGGCCCTATTTGGAACTTTGTAAATTATCAGATGCCAATGCAACATGCACACACAGCGCTAGAGATATTATTCACAGGAAGCTAAAAGATTAAATACGAATGGGCCTATTAAATCTGGCTATACACAACTCAATTGTATCCTGGCTTTCTCTAGGATTTTAATGTACATCCCCCAGAGCTTTTCAGAAAGAATGAAGGTATTTGCTGAGTTCAGCGTATCAAGCTGCTGTGATTTCAACACACAATTGTGATATACAATAGGTTTGAAGAGCAGTCAGTGAAATTGTGCAATACGGTTTGTATGCTGAAGAGACTATTGCTTAATCTGCAGATTGTTTAGGATCAGGAAATAGCAGTTCTGATGGACCAAATAAACCTCTAAAATAGTGTTGGTATTTAGCTGGAAAAATCTTTCATGTAGAACCCCAATCGCTTCCCCTAAAACTTACTTTTACACTTGGTTCAGTTCAGTAAAGGTTAGATATAATGATCGGGGTTCACCAGACCTCAGATAAGAAAAACCCAATTTCTCAAGTAGTGGAAACAAAATCAAGTGATTAAAAGTAACTCAGAGCTGCAGGTGATCTTCCCACAAGTCCTCAAACAAATCAATTTTTTTCAAAAGCTGGCTGTCCAACTTGATTGTCAGCTCGGAGTAGCTATATACTTTTTGGCATACAGGTTGTAGTGTAAATGGTAAGACTATTCCAACACATTAATTTCAGGAACAACACTAGTCATTCTTGTATCTCAAGGAGAGCTTCTGGGAGTCTTCACTTGCATAATTAGAAGAAGTAGAGGGCCATGTAGAGGGAGGGTCACAGGTATCTGAAATAGAACAATCGGATAAAACAATGGACCTAAAAGGGAGTGGGAATGAAACTATTTAAATGTGACAAAACAGGCAAATTAAAATGGAATGTGGGTGGAATGGATCGGAGCAGAGGGAGAAATGAAGGGAGGGAGGCTGCAATGGAATGAAAGTATGGAGGAAAATTAAAAGAGACAGGGATAATGTCTGAAATTGATTAGGGGAAGTTGAAAGGGGACAGGAATGAGTTAGTCTTTCACTGGCTGAGAATCATGAGAGTTAAACCTGAAAAGTTTATACCTTGAACAATAACGTTCCTTTAAAACTAAGTCCCCTTAACCATAGCCGAACACCCTAAATAATCGTAACCCTTCCCTGACTCGTGAACCACCAATCCTAACATGCTCCCCCATCCTGACCTCCTCTTAGTGGCATGGTTTTCAGTAATGCTACTGTTAAGTAATGTAGTAGTAGTAATGTCGCTCTGTTAAGTAGTGTCTTGCATTTTCATGCCAACATCCTAAATGGTTATGGAAGTGACAGAGTAACTAAAAAAGAAACAGATGGAGGGGGTTTGTACAAAACCTCATGGTGGATTAGGGGGATTAGCAAAAAGGACTGAAGGTATTGTAGGAAAAGATGGCATAAGTAAAAAGGACCGGGGGAATACAAATGTAGCACATAAACTTTGGTTTTTAGAAAATCTTGTGTACCGTACGGCAGATGTATTTGATGCCTTGCATAATGAACAATGACTTCATAGTAACAAAAAGATGCAGAGAGATGTCATGTTTCTGTATTATCTGTTCTTAAACTGCTTCTTCTCCAAGTCATAATGTATTGTTGAAAATTTTATCTGAATTGATACTTTAGGAAACGCATTTTACAGAATTATAATGATTTCCTTTCTGTTTGTCTTTCCCTACAGATTGTCTTTCTGTTTTTCTTTCTGTTTGCCTTACCCTTTCCCAACCTGCGGTCAGCCGTTCAGCATCGGAATCCAGCCCAGGATGCTGAATTTTCATGGTTATCTGCAGCAATTCAAAGTTGGGCGTTCATGTTTACAAATGACCATTTCCTGTCTGTACTTGTGCAAACATACTTCATACAAACAAACGCACTTACTCAAATGTTAAGAGATGAAAATATTAACCTGTTTTTAAAACCCAGCAGGTTCATTGTTGTATATCCATACACGTCATCATCATCATCATCATCATCTTGTTTTACAATTGGCTATGTTATAATGTAAAAAGGTTTTAAGAACAAATGTCAATTACTGTCCAGACAACATGATATATCTTTCAATTAATTCATGTATAAGAAAACACATGGAAATAAGAAAAATGTTTGAATTTGAACTTTTTCTATGTTATTTTGGGATTGTATCTCTTTAAAGGGTAGGACCAATAATTCAAGATAAAGATAATATAACTGCTAAATAAATATTTGTAACTAGCTTTTTTAAGCAAACTAAAACAACAGTCAATCACCAAGCAGACATTCCTAGCATGCAATGAGATCTGTGAAAACGAAAAGACGCTAAATTGAAGGCAGAAATGTTTTTATACGGTATCAAATTATCAGATTAAGTGTCTTAGAAAACATGTCAGTACCAAGAGACAGACCTATCAGAAACTGGAAGCATTAAGGATCAAGTTTAATGATCAGTTGTTAATAACTTGAATATAAGGCAAATATAACCTCTGTTTGTTCATGTCTATTAATAAATGTAACTGTTTCTGAAATATTCGGGAGTTGTGATGTATTGTATTCATTTTCACCATCTTAAAATGAGATTAGAATATGTAGCAATAGAGTGGTTGGTAAATTGCAGGTGGGGCAGGAGGATACAACGACCTAAGGAACAATAGCACAAACATATTTGCTATGCAGAGTTGTTCCCAAGACAGGTTGCCGCACAAAATGGATGAACTAATTGTTAATAGAAATGACCAATGGACTTGTGCATTCAGTCTCAATTGAATTGTGAGTTAATCAAATTTTGCCAATTGGCAGTTTGTACAAATTCCAGAACTCTAAATCGCCATGTGACCGAATCACAAAACAAACGAAACCAGGAATGAACAAGCTGTTTTGTTTGTTTTTGTGTTTCTGAGCTGGTGCCAAAAATGGGGGACAGTCATTAAATGTTGACTTTATTTACAGATCAAGTCAGAAGTGACCAATAGAGGGGAAATGAGGAGCGGTAGAAATGATATATTTATATTAAAAAAAGTTTGATAAACATATAATATAGAAATCTAGATTTGTATACTGCTCCTTCATTTTCTGTATTGGTTACTTCCTTTCACTTGAATCAAATGGTGGAACATGCACCTGCTGGTTCTCTCCAAAATATATACATAACATTATATTATGTCTATATTTTGCAGTATATTCATTGGTGTATTTTTGTGTAATTTTGATTCGCCTGAATCGTTTTTACCAAAATAATTGCATGGACAAAAGTTGTCCTTACCGAAACGACACGTGGAGGAAATTCAAATTGCCTGAAATAATATTTTTTTTTCATACTAATGGACTTGGACAACCTGCATTGTTTTCACTCTGCGAAGGTCGACTGATCAAATTCTTCCAATTAGGGCTCATAATACAAGGTAAAAGTAGAGCAATTTTTTTTTTTGATAACCTTTATTTTCCATTATTGTCAGACACAAAGACAAGGCAGACAACATACATCTTGGAAGCATTTGAAATATCAATTATAGATCTATGAAACATCTTAATTAATAACCCAAAGCGAATATTGTGTTAGGATAAGTAATGCTCTTAAGGACACAACTTAGGAAATAAAAAGGAATCATGACGGAATATTTCCGTCGTGTCCTTAGGGGATAAATGACGGAGAACACATTTGAGTCAACCCATCCTGGAAATGACACTAATAGAAACAAGCTGGCGTTCTTAGTCAAATAGCAAATTATTATATAATGGTGGCCATGCTGCCAAAGTGTATTTGGCAGATTAAACGTTATAGAGCTACAGCAAGCGAAATGTTTATTTACCGTTCTACGTCCTCTAAGATGTTCCACAGCAGCAGCACTTGGTTTAGTCATTAAACCTGGAATTGTGGAGAATTGCAAACTGTTGGCCAAAAATACGTTTTTGTTTTGTATTTTGGACTAAAATATGCAGTTTTCCAGTCATCTTGCCTCACTTCAATGTTTAGTGACTCCTAAAGCAACTGCTCTTTATAATTCCAAATCTCTCAACATTACAAATTGACTGAGAGGGACACTTTCATTTTTAGGGAAGTGAGTGGGGGGTGTGGCCAGGGGCAGGGTTGTTTTGAAAATTTTAGTTGATTTACTAATAACAATTAATGCAACAAAAATTTAATTTAGTACAAGAACAATGTATCTTATTTACACAGACTGATTTCTAAACACATTAATTGTAGTTTGAAGACACATTACTGGGAGTATTATTGCTGTGGAGCTCTGTGATACACTCAGACACATTACTGGGAGTATTATTGCTGTGGAACTCTGTTATACACCCAGACACATTACTGGGCGTATTATTGCTGTGGAGCTCTGTTATACACCCAGACACATTACTAGGAGTATTATTGCTGTGGAGCTCTGTTATACACTCAGACACATTACTGGGAGTATTATTGCTGTGGATCTCTGTTATACACTCATACACATTACTGGGAGTATTATTGCTGTGGAGCTCTGTTATACACTCAGACACATTTCTGGTAGTATTATTGCTGTGGATCTCTGTTATACACTCAGACACATTACTGGGAGTATTATTGCTGTGGAGCTCTGTTATACACTCAGACACATTACTGGGAGTATTATTGCTGTGGATCTCTGTTATACACTCATACACATTACTGGGAGTATTATTGCTGTGGAGCTCTGTTATACACTCAGACACATTACTGGGAGTATTATTGCTGTGGAGCTCTTACGTATAGTTACATAGTTACATAGCTGAAAAGAGACTTGCGTCCATCAAGTTCAGCCTTCCTCACAAATGTTGTTGCTGTTGATCCAAAAGAAGGCAAAATACATGGTCTGAAGTGCTTCCAATTTTGCCACAAACAAGGAAAAAATTCCTTCTTGACCCCAAAATAGCCGTCAGATGTCTCCTTCGATCAAGCAGCTATTACCCCACTAATTAGAAATTATATCCCTGTATGTTATGTTTTTGTAAGTATTTATCCAATTTGAGTTTAAACATCTGTATGGACTCTGACAAAACCACCTCTTCAGGCAGAGAATTCCATATCCTTATTGTTCTTACTGTAAAAAAAACTTTTCTTTGCCTTAGATGACATCTCCTTTCTTCCAACCTAAATGTGTGACCTCGTGTCCTATATATAGCCCTGTTTATGAATAGATTTCCAGATACAGGTTTGTACTGGCCCCGAATATATTTGTATAACATTATCATATCCCCTCTCAGGCGCCGTTTTTCCAAACTAAACAGATTTTATTTTTTTAACCTTTCTTCATAACTAAAATGCACCATTCCTTTTATCAATTTTGTAGCTCGTCTCTGGACCCTCTCCAGTGCCATGATATCCTTCTTTAGAACAGGCACCCAAAATTGCACAGCATATTCAAGGTGTGGTCTTACCAGCGATTTATAAAGAGGCAAAATTATATTTTCATCCTGAGAATTTATGCCCCTATTTATACATGACAAAATCTTACTGGCCTTAGCAACTGCAGATTGACATTGCATATTGCTGCCTAATTTGTTGTCTATAACAATTCCCAAATCCTTCTCGTGTGTGGTTATCCCTAATTCACTACCATTTAGTGTGTAAGTTGCTTGTGCATTCTTAACCCCGAAGTGCATAACTTTGCATTTCTCTATGTTAAATTTCATCTGCCATTTTAGTGCCCAGTCACCCAATCTATCCAAATCTCTCTGCAGCAAAGCAATATCCTGCTCACATTTTATTTCTTTACAAAGTTTTGTGTCATCTGCAAACACTGATACATGGCTTTCAATGCCTATTTCAAGATCATTTATAAATATGTTTAATAGAAGTGGTCCCAAAACAGAACCCTGAGGGACACCACTTACCACTTTTGTCCAGCCTGAAAAGTTACCATTAATGACAACTCGTTGTATTCTATCCTTAAGCCAATGTTCTACCCAAGAACAAGAATATTCATCTAGATCAATTTCTTTTAGTTTGAAGACTAACCTATTGTGAGGAGCCGTATCAAATGCCTTGGCAAAATCCAAGTAGATCACATCCACTGCAACACCCTGATCTATACTTCTACTTACTTCTTCGTAGAACGCAATTAGGTTAGTTTGACATGACCTATGTTTCATAAAACCATGCTGATTATTGCTAATAACACAGTTCTTCCCAATGAATTCCTGAATATTATCCCTTAATAGCCCTTCAAATATTTTCCCAGTTACAGAAGTTAAGCTCACAGGTCTATAATTTCCAGGCAAGGATTTTGAACCCTTTTTAAATATAGGAACAACATCTGCCTTCCTCCAATCCTCCGGTACAACACCTGATACAAAAGAATCAAGAAAAATTAAATACATAGGTTAACTTATTTCCCCTTATTTTATCCAATCACAAGTTATTTTCAAGTTTTTTGCAGCAATCATTTGCATATCTCTTGCCATAGGATCCTCATTAATATATACTGAAGAAAAATAGTCATTTAAAATTTCAGCTTTTTCCTGGTCTTTATTAGCTAATAAACCCAACTCCAGTGACACATTACTGGGAGTATTATTGCTGTAGAGCTCTGTTATACACTCAGACACATTACTGGGAGTATTATTGCTGTGGGGCTCTGTTATACACTCAGACACATTACTGGGAGTATTATTGCTGTGGAGCTCTGTTATACACTCAGACACATTACTGGGAGTATTATTGCTGTGGAGCTCTGTTATACACTCAGACACATTACTGGGAGTATTATTGCTGTGGAGCTCTGTTATACACTCAGACACATTACTGGGAGTATTATTGCTGTGGAGCTCTGTTATACACTCAGACACATTACTGGGAGTATTATTGCTGTGGGGCTCTGTTATACACTCAGACACATTACTGGGAGTATTATTGCTGTGGAGATCTGTTATACACTCAGACACATTACGGGGAGTATTATTGCTGTGGAGCTCTGTTACACACTCAGACACATTATTGTAAGTATTATTGCTGTGGAGCTCTGTTGTACACTCAGACACATTACTGGGAGTATTATTGCTGTGGGGCTCTGTTACCGTGTTTTCCCGAAAATAAGACCTACCCCGAAAATAAGCCCTAGCTGGATTATCGGGGTGGGCTGCAATATAAGCCCTACCCCGAAAATAAGACCTAGGCAGGGCTGGCGGCTGCCGGCCCTTTAAATGCCACAGCCGACTGAGCGCTCTATAGAGAGCGCTCAGATGGCTGCCGCACTGCCTCACCTCCCCTTCCCCGTAGCGTGGCCGAGCTCCTCTCCGGTCCGCGACCCGGCCGGACTGACAGGAAGTCCACACCCTGGGTGTGCACTTCATGTCAGTCCGGCCGGGTCGCGGACCGGAGAGGAGCTCGGCCACGCTACAGGGAAGAGCAGGTGAGGAGAAGATTGGGGGGGGCATTACAGGAAGGGGAGGGAGCATTACAGGGAAGGGGAGGGAGTATTACAGGGGGGGAGTATTACAGGAGAGAGGGGGGGGAGAATTAGAGGGAGGGAGGGGGGAGAGTATTACAGGGAGAAAGGGGGGAGTATTACAGGAGGAGGGGGGGGAGAGTATTACAGGGAGGGAGGGGGGGAGAATATTACAGGGAGGGAGGGAGGGAGAGGGGGAGAGTATTACAGGAGGGAGGGAGGAGAGGGAGAGTATTACAGGAGGGAGGGGGGGGGAAGAGTATTACAGGGAGGGGGGGGGAGAATATTACAGGAGGGAGGGGAGAATACAGGGAGGGAGGAGAATATTACAGGGAGGGAGGGAGGGAGAGGGAGAGTATTACAGGGAGGGGGGGGAGAATATTACAGGAGGGAGGAGAATATTACAGGGAGGGGGGAGAGTATTACAGGGAGGGGGGGGAGAGTATTACAGGAGGGAGGGAGGGGGGAGAATATTACAGGGAGGGAGGGGGGAGAGTATTACAGGGAGGGAGGGAGGGGGGAGAATATTACAGGAAGGGGGGAGAATATTACAGGGAGGGAGGGGGGGAGAATATTACAGGGAGGGAGGGGGGAGAGTATTACAGGGAGGGGGAAGTGAGGGTCTCTGGGGGGGTTACACAGCGCAGACACCGGCTGACAGACTGGCTCTAAGCCCTACCCTGAAAATAAGCCCTAGTGTGTTTTTTGTGACTAAAATTAATATAAGACCCGGTCTTATTTTCGGAGAAACACGGTATACACTCAGACACATTACTGGGAGTATTATTGCTGTGGAGCTCTGTTATACACTCAAACACATTACTAGGAGTATTATTGCTGTGGAGCTCTGTTATACACCCAGACACATTACTGGGAGTATTATTACTGTGGAGCTCTATGACACACTCAGACACATTACTGGGAGTATTAATGCTGTGGACCTCTGTTATACACTCAGACACATTATTGTGAGTATTATTGCTGTGGAGCACTGTTATACTCTTAGACTAAAATGGCTAAATTCTAAAAATTCTACAAGTAGCCTGCAGTCACTGCTTGCCTATTTTGGCTTGTTTTTTTGTTCCTGTTTGTTTTTCAATTTACTACAATTCACTGTTTAAACAATCCGTTTTCCTGGCACTGCAGGTTCCCTCTCCCTCCCACCCCCCATCCCCAGTTGCTGAAGGGGTTAAAACCCCTTCAGTCACTTACCTGTATCCAGCACCGATGTCCCTCTGCGCTGGTTCAGGATCTGCCTACGCTGTCTATTGAGCATGCGCGGCCAGCGGCGTGGGGAGACCTAATGCGCATGCGCGGCAATGCCGCAATTAGACCTCTCCATAGGAAAGCATTGAATAATGCTTTCAATGCTTTCCTAAGGGGATTTTGGCGATGCTGGAGGTTCTCACATAGCGGAAGTGTCCTCTAGTGGCTGTCTACTAGAGATTGCAGACTAGACAGCCACTAGAGGAGGAGTTAACCCTGCAAGGTAAATATTGCAGTTTATGAAAACTGCAATAATTACATTTGCAGGGTTAAGGGTAGTGGGAGTTGACACCCAGACCACTCCAATGGGCAGAAGTGGTCTGGGTGCCTGGAGTGTCCATTTAAATATGCAGTATTTGACAATATCTGTTATTTTGGGATAACTTCATCAAGGATGCATATCATGCAAATAAATACTTCACAAACTGCATTGAGAACACACACAAACAGCACCCTTCACACACACTGCACCTCTCACCCACACACTGCACCCTTCACACAAATACAGCACCCTTCACACACACACTGCACCCCTCACCCACACACTGCACCATTCACACACATACAGCACCCCTCACAAACACACACACTGCAAACTTCACACACACAGCACCCTTTACACTCACACTGCACCCCTCACACACACTGCACCTCTCACACGCACTACACCCTTCACACACAAACACACACAAATCACCATTCACACACACACAGAACCTCACAGACACACATAGAAAAAAAAAAAGTAAAATAGAAAATAGAAAAAAAATAGATAAATTTAAGTACATATTTAAAAAAAATAATAATTGTACTTACGCTATAAAATGAGTTACTGTGGCACTGGTGGACGGTAAGGAAATGTTACCATCAACAAAGATACAAAGTGGGCGGTAGGTATTAGAAGGTTGACTACCCCTGCTCTAGTTGTTGTAGTTGACCACAGCAGCGAAGATCTTACATTTAGTACCTCCTTAATCCAGTTAAATAAACTCTAACAGGGTTATTTAGTGGAGTGAGAATTCAAAGTGAATATCAAATTAAAAGGTCAAAGTAGGCAAATTGAAATCATAACTGAGTTTCAGAATTTAGCTATTTTGGCCTTAAATTTGAGATTCACTTTAAATGCACACTTTAGTAAATATTGCTGCCACTGCTCATTAAATGGTGGTAAATAGAAAATAGAAATACACGATTCAGTCTAAATTATCCAAGATGTGACTAGATCTGAATTGGAGTTTGTTTTCCGAACCAGCCACTTTACTGTCCAAATATCAATTCAGGTTTTAATTCAGTGTTTAGTGAATAAACCCCTGGGAGAGCCCAGCTACCATGATGTCAGTGTGAGCTAATCATTAAATCAGGTTCTCTCAGTATCTCCAATCAGAACTAATAAGAGTGCCAGACACAGTGGGATATGCCATTCAGGTATTAGTTTGTCCACACTGCTCTGTAAGAGAGGGATAGTGAATACCATGGCCTCCCATTCCAGGTTACTGCAAAAGATGAAGTCTTTTTGTAGGACTGAAAATCAATATGTACGCTGTGGGCTGGCAGAGTTTTTGGGGACTCTCATTTTAATAGTAAGTAAGGATTATCGAGTATTTTTTTTTATTTATGTTGAGAGAGAATGTATTAAATTGTCCTTGTCCTGTTCATTTTTGGAATTAACCTGTCCACTTGTTTCTTATTCATTAACCTGAGAAGTCTTGGGGATAAAGGAGATGAATTGGAAGCCTAGTTAGAGAATAATTCTCGTTTACGTTTTGGAATTCCCCCAAACTTTTATTATAGTGCGTAACCCTGCAAATGTGTGAGATGGAAATAAAGGGCACTCCTGCAATCCAGTCTGAAAAAAGTTACACCATCTATGTCCAATGCAGCAATAATTATTAGGTTCTAAGATGCCAGCAATAGTCAGTATGTCTGCAATCTCTCTCTAGGAGAGAATCAATGCAGACATTGAGACATGCTGACTATTGTTGTGATCTGGGAACCTAATAATTCCGTATGGGCAGCATCTGCATACTGTGCATGTTGAAATAGATTTGTGTGAATCCTTATATTGGCTGTTTGTATGCCATCGTCTAGTGGTGTGTGGATTGCAAAATGTAAGCAATTAAAGTGTGAATTAAAAATGTAAGGCCAAAATAGCTGCCTTCAAACAATTCTCTAAGTCAGCTATACTTTCAGTTCAACTATTCTGGCCTTAAATTTTGACATTCACTTTGGTAACTAACCCAGAACGTACTTTTCTCGTAAATGGCATTGTTCTCAACATTAAGGCTGTGCAGCATATCTGTCCCAGAATGACTTCATTAAGATCTAACTGGACTTTATAGTAATCATTATGTGTGGATCACTGATTCAGTGGTTTGTTGGTTAAATGAACACTTAAAGGGACACTGTAGGCACCCAGCCCACTTTAGCTCATTGAAGTGGTCTGGGTGCTGTGTTCCTTTTGCACTTAGTGCTACAATGTAAAACATTGCAGTTCCAGAGAACTTCAATGTTCACATTGCAGCACTAAGTCTGCCTTTAGTGGCTGTCTACCAGACAGCCACTAAGGGTGCTTCCGGAATTGAAAAAGACCTTTTGGTCCTTTTTGTGAAGTTGGATGTCCTCAAGCTCTGCGCGAGGACCTTGAGCGTTGGATTTTTTTCCTTATCAATGCTTCTCTATGGGGAAATCCTAATGCAAACAGGACATCGGCGCAGGATTTAGGTAAGTGATTGAAGGGGTTTTAACTCCTTCAGCACCGAGGGAGGAGGGCACCTTAGAAATCTATAGTGCCAGGAAAATGGCTCTTGTTTTCCTGGCACTATAGGATCCCTTTAAAAATGAATTGCTTCCACACTTGTCAAATCACCTACTCTTGCTGTTTATAACTTTGTTTGTCTCTGTAGTTTTATTCAACTACTCTTAAAAAAATAAATTAAAAAAAAATAAAAAAAAATTATATTAATCCAAAAATGTCTGGAGCTCGAACTGATACTTCTCATTGCAAAGCATTCAATTCACTGCTTCTCCATTCGCTATTACTCAAAGATGTGACTATGGTTCAGCTAGAGAAATGTCCCAGATCAGACATCTCCCTACCCATTGTATGAGAAGCATTACAACACCAAACATGAATTTTAATTATTGAAAGTGCTTCCAGTGGCTGAGTGATTGTCTGAGGTACCCTGAGTGCAGTTTGTGTGTGTTTTTGCGCTCCGTGTGCCCTTTGAAGGAGAGAAGTTCCAAAATGATGTCCTGTAATCTACGTATAAGGAAACACCACTTCCCTCCACTCTTATGTAAGAAATATGAACAAATGTATAATTTTAGCTAGAAACATGGGTAATACTAACTGCCCTCTCATGTCGGACTTTTTCTCATTTTCTCTCTAGCTGTTTGGCTGTGGGTCTGTGGCCCAGATGGAGTTAAGCGGCTTTGCCAAAGCTCAGTTTTTGAGTGTTAATATGGCGTTTGGCTTTGCAGTGACTGCTGGCGCTTATGTATGTGCTGGTGTGTCTGGTAAGTTCACAATCCCTTACCGGCTGACCCTTCACGATGCTCATTCCTTCAGTTTGATATAAACCCTATAAATCCCTTGGAAACACATAAGGGTAGAAACAAAATATGTGTCTATATCACAGAGCTCCACAGAAATAAAACCCCCAGTATTTTTTTTTCTTCCCCAATTACTGAAAAGGTTAATTTCTCTTTCTTTAAAATAAATAAATAAACTTTATGCAACTATACAAATGGTTGTGGTTTAGAAAAATGCCCAGCATGTAACTTTATTTATTTTATTTTTTTGCTGCTAAAACTGTACTTGGCGTCTTACAAACCAGATTTAGTTTACTATAACATGCATTGTGGCATGTGATGTGCCCCTTTTATTATACCGAATAGAATAAGGCACTGGGAAAACAAACAGTATATATGTTGTTCACTCTATACTGTGGCTCAGATGTTCTCGATTTTCTCCATCTATTCCCTGTAATCTTCATATGGACATTGTTCCATCTTTTTGTAACTGTGTTCACCTGGAATACAGTGTGCTCAGTGCCACCTCTCCTGTAATATTTTTTTTTTTTTTAAATTAATTTATAAAATATTTTACCAGGATGGATACATTGAGATTTCTCTTGTTTTAAAGTATGTCCTGGGTCCACAAAACATTGCATTGATACAATAGGGTACAATAAATCCATACTGACGATCTGTCATTGAGTAGACATGGGTACCTGACCCATGTGCCACAATCCCCATACTCCAAAGCTTCTCTTGTATTAATAGGTCTTGAGGATGAAAAGTTTCTAGGGGTTTACATGTAAACCTCTGAAACTGCCAGGTTCCCCACTGACAAGTCTCAGCACAACCTATATTGAGATGAGTTTTGGCGCTTGGTGTCCCTTTTTAAGAAACTGGTTCTTTGGAGAGATGGAAATATCGCATGCTACCTGTGTTCTTGTACCTTGCAGGAGCCCATCTGAATCCCGCTGTTTCTCTTTCAATGTTTCTTCTTGATAAACTAACTTGGAGAATGATGCTGGTCTACTGGTTGGCGCAGTTTCTAGGGTCTTTTGTTGGTGCTTCCTTCGTCTTCTTCTTGTACTATGGTAAGGATCGAAACTAAAGAAACTGTCTGGCCTAATATGGGAATTCATCACTATGACTCATTTTATGGTATAGTTTAACAAGAATTGTAAAATATCCAAATTCATTAATGGTTTTGCAAGTTTATTAGAACAGATCTTTCAGTCAAAATGCTTTCACTTGATAGTGTTGTCTATCTTGTCTTACAAGAAGGCACTGAAACTTGGTATAAGTTTGCCAGAAAGACAATTTGCCACTGTAGCAGCACAAACTTGAATTCAGAGGCACGGATAGGGGAGAGTGGAGCAGCAGTCACTAGGTCTGTACTAACAGACATGCAACACCACAATCCACATCCCTACAAACACAATACTACACTCTGTCTCCATACATACACCAAAGGCAGCCTATGCAACACCACAAACAGCCATCTCTTGCCCAATTTGTCTATTTTGGCTTTAAATTTTAAATTCAGTTTGTTGTGTCTCTTAAAGAAAGGAGTAGTTCTAACTTCCTACATATCTTATTTTTTTAAGATGCCCTATATGTCTACAGCAGTGGGAACTTCACAGTAACCGGACCTCAGTCTACTGCAGGGATATTTGCCTCTTACCCATCTGAACATCTGAGCCATATCAACGGCTTTACAGATCAGGTAAGGGTTGAATTTACGGTAAGGTTCTTGCCGTGATCAAAAACAAAACACTTTCTGATTAATTCACAGGTGATTGCTACGGCTGCACTAATGATTGCCATTTTGGCCATATTGGATGAAGCCAACAATGCTGCTCCTCGTGGTATCCAACCCTTTATGATTGGAATCGTGGTTCTGCTCGTTGGGTTATCAATGGGCTTTAATTGTGGCTACCCCATAAATCCTGCCCGAGACCTGGCTCCACGCATCTTCACTGCTATTGCTGGCTGGGGTCTGGAAGTTTTCTGGTAGGTTAATTAACTTGAAATCATTATTTGTAATTCAATTTCTCTTCTTCACCTTTCTTTTCCCAACCTCCTTGATCTGTTCCCTTCCTTACATTGTGTGTAATGAACTAATGTTGCCTCAACTGCCATGAGAACCACCAAAAATTATCTGGCCCAAAAGCTTTGGTGCAAGTTTTTTTTTTTTTTTTCGTCAACTGTAATTCGACTTACTATATTTAACAATGTGTATACATGAGGTAAGGGATGCAACATCCATTTGCTTCTATTTCTCATCATTTGTAGAGTAGGTTCTGGCATTAAGTTGTGTTGTAATAGAACCTCCCCTTCCCCAAAAGTAAAACGCTCTGGACAAAGTGTGTGGGACCTACATCTGGTAATGTATTATCGTTTTTTTTTTTTTTTTTTTATTACTCAGGGCTGGATCTAACTGGTGGTGGGTACCTGTATTTGGACCTCTGGCAGGATCCCTAGTCGGTGTGATACTCTATCAACTATTTATTGAAATCCATCACCCAGAGATCAAGCAAAAGGATGACCTTGAAGAGGACCAAAAAGAAAGACACCCTCCACATTATGAGCTAGTTCACTCTTCAGCATAACCTTTTATGTCTTCTACCTTACAAACCGTTCATCTTTATGTCTCTGGCCTACCCTATTTATTTGTATCCTCCTTTTTATCAATGTATTGTGCTGGTTTATCATTTATAGTGGGACCACCAGAAGATAGCTGATTTGTGTTTTGACGTGTCCTAGTTACACGAAGATGTTTGTTTAGGGAAACTCCTTTTTATTAGGAAAAATATAACCAGGGAAAAAAACATTTCTGTCTTAAACTTTGCACTATTGGGAAATATGCCTAGTTAGCATGATAGCTTGCTACTTTGTCCTAAAATTGGAAATTATACTTTGAATTCTCACTTTGGCAGATAACCCTGTAGATATATCTTGTAGTAGATTTAGCAACTTTGTAGCCTGTGCTCTTCAAAATACTATTAGTTTTTTTTATGCCACTTGGATTTTAACGTGCACAATTTGGAGCTTAATGAAAACCCCATGGTTTTCATTAAGCTCCAAATTGTGCAAGTTAAAATCCAAATCCAATGGTTTTGATTGTATTCCATCTTGCCAGTTTATACATAACAGAATTTCTCATTTGTTTGTCTGCCCGTTCTTTGTAATATGTATCTGTTCAAATGGCCAAAACAAGCTCATGAGTTCAGTTTCTGTTTGGGGCAGATAATTCCAGAGGCGTGTGCACACAGTGAGCGTGAGTACTAACTAATCTTACTCACCCCGCTAATAATTTTCCATGTTAGTAGTTCAAATCTTCATGGTAAAGAAGAAAAAAAAAAATTTTCCTCAAAAAATTTAAGGCAACTTACATTTTATACTTAATTTAAATATCGTGTATTGTGCATGCTTAAATTGGTTTTAAGTGAATTTCCTTTTTAAAAGTTCCTAACTTGAACAAGCTGCAATTTTATGTTTACCTCTGTTTAGATTAAGTGGTTTGCAGGATGACCAAACAGATTCAATTGTGACCTTCATAAAACTAATAAAGAGAACCTGTAACTTTAAAGTGTGTTCTGGTTAATTCATTGCACTGGTATAATATGGAGTGGGGGGGAAAGGGGTTAAAATGGTGACATTCGAGATCCCTGCCCATAGTTGGAATCTGTATTGCACAATATCGGCATTGACCAAATTTTTACTCTTCACAAGTGAGAATTTCCTATAACCCTGGACAGAGGCGGCTCTAGACTTTTGAGGCCTTAGGTGAAACTCAAACATGAGGCCCCACTAACAAAAGTGGGAAAAAAAAATAGCGTTGCAATACATGCACACTGTCACATATGCACAGTTTACCTGTGTATGTGCCCAAGAGTGTGTCTGAGTATCCTTGTGTGTGTGAATGTATCTCTGTGAACATGTTTGTGTTTTTGTCTGGGACCGTATGTGTATGGGGGTCTGCCTGTAGCCTTTGTGCATTGTGTTTATGGCAAAGCTATGTTTCCTGACTGTGTGTGTGTATGATACATGTCTTCAGCTGGTGACTGTGACAAAATGGGTAAAGGGAGAGTGACAGGGTGAAAGGAGTAAATGGACAGGGTAAGGGAGGGTTGTGAGAAAATGAAGGAGTATGACATGATTTGATTGAGTGTGACAGGGCGAGTGGAGGTAAGTGTCAGGGCAATTGTGGCAGGATTAAGGGGGGTTAATGTGGCAGGTGAGTATAGAGGGGGTGATATTAACAGGATTAGTTGTGGTTAATTTAAGTTACATGAAGAAGCTGACAGTGTAGGAAGGGGTGACATTGTGTGGGGAGGTGACGGTGTGAAGGGATGCTAAGTGAGTCTGGGGAGGCTGTGTGTGAGGGTGATGGTGTGGGGGAGGGTGATGGAGTGAGGGGAAAGGGGGTGAAGGGGAGGCCTAAACACTTTTTTTCTTTTTTTTAACATTTTTATTACCTGGTGGTCAAGTGGCCATTATATCCGGTCTGCAGACATAGTATCTCGCGAGACACGTCAAACCGTTGCCATGTTAACCCGCAGCATCGCTCTGATTGGCCAGTTCTCATGAGACACATGGTCTGCAGACCGCTGGCTGGGCAGACAGGAGGGGCCATGCACCCAGCGGCATACTGAGCAAGCCGCTTGGTTCTTGGTCACTGACCGAGGACTTGACACAGTCTGCCCTAATGTAGTTTAGGCGGCTGCCTAAACAGCCTAATTAGAGAGCCACCTCTGACCCTGGAATGATTCTGCTATTGGAGGAAGCTATTACCTGCTAATGTTGAAATAAGGTGGCTGAGAGCAGTGGTTTTAATATAAAAATTCTTACCTTGTTTTATCTTGCAACTGGTTGCCTCAATCTTAGCTTCTTGTCACCAAAATGACCGTTGACAAGTTTTGTCCATGCACCTCTTTCAGTCACTGTCATAAGACTGCACTTTATATTACACTTCATTGCACTTTTTATTAGGTAAAAATGTTGAAATGCACTTTTTGACTAAGTGCCCTTTATAGAATGTGACTGCAGATAAGGACAGTTTGGTCCATCTCTCGTCTGCCCAATTTGCTAAATACTTTAATTAGTTCCTGGGCTTATCTTATAGCTAGGTTGGCCTTATGCCTATCCCACGCATGCTTAAAGGACCACTCTAGGCACCCAGACCACTTCAGCTTAATGAAGTGGTCTGGGTGCCAGGTCCAGCTAGGGTTAACCCATTTTTTCATAATTATAGCAGTTTCAGAGAAACTGCTAAATTATGAATGGTTAAGCCTCCTAATCTCTAGTGGCTGCTCTCATTGACAGCCACTAGAGGCGCTTTGATTCTCACTGTGATTTTCACAGTGAGAGCACGCAAGCGTCCATAGGAAAGCATTGTAAATGCTTTCCTATGTGACGGCTGAATGCGGCATTGCCGCGCGTGCGCATTCAGCCGGCGGGATGCGAGGCGGAGGAGGAGGAGAGCTCTCCGCCCAGCGCTGGAAAAAGGTAAGTTATTACCCCTTTCCCCCTTCCAGAGCCGGGCGGGAGGGGGTCCCTGAGGGTGGGGGCACCCTCAGGGCACTATAGTGCCAGGAAAACGAGTGTTTTCCTGGCACTATAGTGGTCCTTTAAACTCCTTTACTGTGTTAACCTCTACCACTTCAGCTGGAAGGCTATTCCATGCATCCACTACCCTCTGATATTTTTAAACCTTTGCCCCTCTAATTTAAGACTGTCATCTTGTTGTGGTGGCTTTTCTTTGATATGGTTTTGGCAATGTGCCATTTCCATGGATGTCTGATGTATCGGACTTATAGCACATTACTCCACATTCTTAAAGATCCTTAACCACCTATGTATTAAGGCAAAACAAGCATTGGTGGTAGTGGAACAAAAAGTGGAAGTGATATTGGAATGCACAGAATTACGTCCTGAATGCATATGGCTGCGACAGTGTGGATATCAAGTGCTTACAGGTAATGATGGAGGTGTGGACATATAGGAGTAATGGGATTGGTAAAGATTCAATGCGTGAGACTGATGCCCACTGTACCACCAAGGAACTGCCTGTGTATAGTGGGTGTTTTGGGAGGGAAGAATTCAGGCATTTTTATTTGTATTGCTTTGTGTCAGTTGAGGTCCCCAAGGAAGTTTTTATAGAAAAAAATAAAAAACCCATAGAGGAACTGGTGGGTTTTTTTTTTTGTTTAATAACCATTTTTATACATGTTTTCATCTTTGCCTGGATTCAAACAGTGAGTGTGAGGAAGTCTTTGTAGTCCCCCACTGCCAGCGGGAGAGGCACTTGTTTTTTTAACTATATATTCTGTGTGTGTGCAATCTAGTAAGCCTATCAGTTTGCTAATTTTGACTATATTACAGTGTTTTGGTAATATATTCTTTCCAGATCATACATATGTATCCCATTTCTCTCTACATAACTGTCATAAGACTTGCAGCTATTGACACAGGTGGGAAATGGTGTCTTGCCTGCATGGGGCAATTAAAATTTAATTAGGGAACCAAATGTCCTGCCCCACCCCAAGGTGAGGACTATTTAAATATTAGCCAAGTGCAGACATAACATTTTGGGCAGCTGAATCGAAAATGCGCCACCTATGAGACGTATTTTGATAGTACCTCCCGAGAGTAGCAGTGACGTGAGACTGGGTGTGAAAATAAAAATAAAAAAAAAGTACTGAGGCCTAGAATACCTCTTTTCTTCAGCTTCAAAAAAAGGCCAAAACCAATTCAAGTTTGGCAAATTTAGGGCCCCCACGCAGACTGGGCCTGCGTGGTAGGTAGTAGCATTGATCCACACAGACTTGCTTGTTAACATAATGCATAGGGTGATTGTGGTATGGGGCAGAGCTCCCCTAATTTGTTTACGCATCAATTGCCAGGAATGAGTAAGATTAAAAATTAAACTGGTTGACAAATTTCAACTGCAATAAAACTTTGCAATTGAAATTCAGACATACCAAACAACGGATGCAACTTGGTTCTGATTTGTTTTTAAATGAAACTATTCAGACTAACAATTTAGTTTGTGTCCCACAGTTTATGTACACAAGGTAGTTAAAATAACCCTAAGTACTATAAACCCTATTTACCGTAGTGGTTAAAGTGCAAAGACTCTATAGATACAGTATTGGTGAGATAAAGGATTACAGTATATACTCGAGTATAAGTCTAGTTTTTCAGCACATTTTTTGTGCTTAAAAACCCCCACTCGACTTATACTCGAGTCACTGTCTGTATTATGGCAACTTAGAGAGCCGCGGCCGTCAGAGCCATGGCAACGATCCGCGCGGCAACCAGACCGCAAGACTTACAGTGGAGCTGACCGGAACGGAGGAGAAGGGAGCTGACAGGAGCTGCAGGAAAGGTAAGTAAATGCTTCCTGCCGGCCCCCCCACTTCACAGCCCATGCCACTGGACCACCAGGGATTAAGATAGCCCTCCTCCCTGACCAGTTAACAAGCAGGGAGGGGGGACAAAATAAAATTAAAATAAAAAAAAAAAATTTTAAAATTAAAAAAAATTAAAATAATAAAAATGCCCTCCCCCCACCCAGTTCACACACACTACACAAACTCTCCATTATATACACAGTGTGTGTATATAATGCAGAGTGTGTGTTTGTATGGGTGTGTGTTTGTATGAGTGTGTGTGTGTATATAATGCAGAGTGTGTGTTTTTTATGAGTGTGTGTGTATATAATTATAAAAATCACAGAATTTCATAGCCCCAAGTTTTACCCTCGACTTATCCACGAGGCATAGCATATTTCACAATTGTTGGTCACAAAACTGCACTCGACTTATACATGAGATCGACTTATACACGAGTATATACGGTACTTCTCTTTAAGACATTTGTATTTCATCTTAAATAATTATAGAGTTCAATGAGACCCAGCCGGTACAGTATGGGCAAATTCAAAATTTATTCAGCTGGTGGATGGGAGATTCCCTGTTACATGAGCAATGAAACATCTGAGCAAGTGGACTCCAGAGTACTGGGTGGAGCTGTGGAGAGAGAAATAATGTAACAAGTTCCCTAAACAGATGATCAACAAAAATAAATGGTGCTAAAATGTATATTGGTGAAGATGTCGTAACATGCAGTGCTGACATTTCAGAGTAATCGGATGAGTTCTCGTCAGTGTAAGTCTCAGCCAGTGTTTACCGCTAATGTTGGTCAATGTCACTTTTACATGTAAGTGGCAGTAGAGATCTACTTACCTCTGAATCAATCTGCATTTAAAAATGAGGGTGTTTTACTATGAAAAGCAGTGAGTGACTGTTCGATCCTTATTGGTTCATTTTGAATAAACAAGTCCCCAAACTAATTTATATAGTTTTAACTACCTGGATTATATTAAAAAAAAAGGTTAACAAATGGCAACTAACTGCAAAGCAGTAAACAAGACTGTGCATTTCACGAATGAGGCTTGGCATTTTTTTACCTGATTAGGAAGGGTTGGGGAAAACATCCGTTTGTTTTATTCACAATAAATTCTTGAACCTCTAGAAAGCGCGTCAATAAAATTCCCGTAGGGGGTCTGTCTATTTTTGTTATCACAACCTAAGAAAAGAAACTAACGTAAGTTCAAAAGCAGATTGTCTGAATGCTCTCTCAAATACAAATGGAGCTTATTCACTAAATCCTGGCAGAACATCAGAGGAGAGAATACTCTGGTAACAAAATGAACATTAGCATTTGGGGTTAACATATTTCACATTTGTTCGTTTACTAATGCCTGGTTGACCAGCTAAGCTCACAGGGGCAACTTGGACCCTAGAAAGGTCATCCAAAAGCAGCCCATTGATCAGACATGTCATATGTTCTCTCCTGAGCCAAACTCTAAAGTCAATAAGTGACCATTCTGGGAATCCTTTAACCCCTTAAGGACACATGACGTGTGACATGTCATGATTCACTTTTATTCCAGAAGTTTGGTCCTTAAGGGGGTTAAAACTATGTGGTGATTAAGTTCAATGTTAACTGCTTTCCATATTCCCCCACTGCTCTTGAATGAGATAAAGTGATGATGGTGCTTAGATTAAAGTGTATTTCTAGCTGCTATGAGAGTTAAACAACCACCAGAATGCACCTATAGGTCCATCTAATCCATTCTACAATGGCCTTCTTCAAAAGTGTATTCTAGACACAGCACATGCAACAGAGAATTGTGACGGTCTTGCCAAATATGGAACTGTTAGTATGTATGCAAGTACAGTAAGAATATATATATAATGACAACACACCAAACAGAATATTTACTACTGGCTTCTCCACCCAGATCAATAATACTGTAATTAAGCTTGAAATTAAAGAAAATAATAAATAATGAAAAAAAAGGTCTTACTTACAACATAAGGTTTTGCAAATTCTTCACACATTTCAATGGCTATTAAATCAGATTTTTGAAGACCAATGGACCCATCCACAAGCAGAAATATCCTTTTTAAACTGTTTTAAATAAAAATAGTCAAATTAAGTTTAAGTCTATTCGATACAGATGCAATCACAAACACACAATGCAACATCTGCTTATTTTTCTTATAGCATTACATAAAATCTAGTTATAAAAAATAGGTCACTATAATATATAAATTTCATTTTTTTGATTTAGATATAAAGAATATTAATTTATTTGCATTATTGTTTTCATATGATTTAGGCCTTTAATCCCAGAGCTGTCAACCAGACAGGTGAAATGCTCAGTTCAAGCTGCCCGATATACATTTTATTTCATGTTGTGAATAGTCAAAATACACACACACATACCCCTCTCAGATATACAGTAATATTTATCCTGTGTGCCTCTCCCACACCTTTCGCATGACCACAGAGAAGCTTTAACTGGCCCACCCACTCTAGAGAAAAAACGGTAATAAGGACCCTACCTACTGGTAAATCACCAGGTCCAGACGGCTTTCCTAACAGTTATTATAAGAGATATGCTCACCTCCTAACTCCTTACCTCCTTCATGTCTTCCAAACAGACTCGTCAACAGGCGAACTGCCTCCAAACATGTTGAAAGCTACCATAGTCATGCTACCAAAATCAGATAAACCGGACAAAAATGTTCATCCTATATAACTCAAACACAGATGTCAAGATAGTTGCCAAGTTATTAGCCAACAGAATTGGACCAATATTACCAAATCCAATTATCAAACAGATTCGTTAGGGATACAAAGCCATGGATAACATTAGGAATCTTCTCCGTTGGGCAGACTTCTGGTGTTGGACACAGATAAATCATTCAACTGCCTTAACTTACAGTTCCTTGAGGAGGCCTTATATAAATTTGGTTTCCCTCCCTTATATGTGACGCCTCTCTTTTCCACCAAGCTACAAGCTTTTATTCTGCAGGAGGGATTCTTATCTTTGTTTTCGATAACAAACAGAACAAGACAGGAGTGCTCTTTGTCACTGCTTTTATATGTACTGGCATTAGAACCTCTATTGCAAAGTAAAATAGACAATCAGGGAGTGAATATGGGGCCGCAAGAAACAAAGTTGACCCTTTGCTGCTGATGTCCTCATTTCAATTACAGACCCGATAGCTTCTTACCACAAGTAATGGCGACCTTAAAAGACTACAGTATAGTCTCCTACTACTAAACCGATCTTCATGTGCTACCGGCTACTACAAACCCAGACTCCAACATTTCAAAACTGTGGGCAGTGGATTTTAACAGCCCAATTTCACCTGACCAATGGCACCAGATTTCTACCTTACACAAAGTATTTACCCTCTCCACATCGAACAATATAGAAAAAAAAAATCTCTATAGATAGTACATGATACCAACTAGATAATAAAAAAATATTCCCCTCTTCGTCAAAAAAGTGCTGGAGATGTCATAGAGGATTAGGAAATTAAATATATCTGGTAGTCGTGCCCTGTTATACAACCTTTTTGGGCAAATACACTCTGTCTTAAGGCAAACAATAAGATCACATGTACCCTTCACCTCACAAACTTACTTACTACTCCTAAATCTAGACAAGCTGACAAAAGCCCAACAGAAAATACCGTCAAATATTATACTAACAGCCCAGTGGAAATCGCCACTGCACACCCAACTGAATCAGTGCTCCAGTCCATTGGACACAGTCATATATACCCCAACAAAGTGTTCCAGGAGGCTTGGGGCAAGTGGGGCACATGTAGATCGGGCAAGGCTTGACTGGCCTTGACTCTATGATACGGCGTACTACTCTACTTGATCAAGATGGCGTTTTCCCAATGTGAGTTGATTTGATTATCTTGTCCAAGGACCTATGGTGATGGTATGAGTCAGACCTTTGTCACTACCCTTCCTACAATGCTGAGATGTTACCGTAACAATCACGATCGAATTCGGAATTGTGATATACAAAATTGTTGCAACTTAACTGCACGGTGAGGCCACTTCCTTGTTATTTCCTCCATGGCCACCATCATTATTTTTCCTTTTTGCACCCTCCCTATATATAACTTAATAAAAACTCAAAATAAATAAATAAATAAATAAATAATAATTAAAAAAATATATATAATAAATAATAATAATATATATATATAATAAATAATAATAATATTATATATATATATATATATAAAACCAAGGGGGCTGTACACTCACCTGAACATGCACGCATAATATATATAAATATATGTGTTTTTTTTTTTACAAAATAGGTGGTGGATATAGGAGAGCCTTTCAAACATAGAAGGTTTATTCATTAAATCGCCAGTTGACAACTGTTTTGCAAAGTTTAAGCAAAAAAAATACAGAAAGAGGAAAATATTTGCAACTCATCTGTCAACACACCCCTCCACTTCCACTGATTAATGAATAGCCACCAAACTAAATAGGCCCTATCTGGTTCTTTCCTATGTGGTTACACTTACTTTTGTCTCTTCTGAAGATATTCCTCTACCATATCAGTAAAATCTTCAGGTGCATGATAACCATAGCCTGGCATATCCACCAAAGTAAACGCTTTCCCTGCTTTAAAAAAGTTCAGTTTCTTTGTGTGACCCTGTAAAAAAAAAATATATATATATATTACGGTTATCAGCTGATAGGGTTGAGCTAATAATTTGCATAAAAACTACATAAGAAGACATAAGGCAGAGTATGAAAAGTTGAATTAGACCATTAAGAGATGCTCCAAGAACCTTAAACAATATAATTAATTGAAGTGATTATGGTGCAAGTACTTCACTGAAGTATCCCTCTGGTTTTCATCAAACTGTATTCAATTGTGAGAAGTCCATGCAAAAACATGCTTGCAATTATTCTTTTGCTACAAAATCAGTAAGATTAGTCAAACTATGTAATGTATAATTACTACATACAACGTGTTCCGAAGCTTTGTGCATAATGTTACTCACAGGATTTTTTGACACTCTAACTTCAAGTCCAGGCACCAGCGAAAACAAGGCTTTTATCAACGTTGATTTGCCCACATTACTTCTTCCTATGAAACATACCTAAAATATAAGAAAATACTGTAATGGATAGAAAGCCCACGGCGGGTATTAAAAGTAACAGCCCCTGTACATTGTGCATTGACACACACTAAACATTGTGGGATGATGGGAGCAACAGCCCCCATACACTCTACATGGACTGATGCTAAGCATTGTGGGATGATGGGAGCAACAGTCCTGATACACTCTACATGGACTCATGCTAAGCATTGTGGGATGGCAAGAGCCGCCCTCATTCTCTATACATGGAACTCATGCTAAGCATTGTAGGATATAGGAGTATTTACTGGCTTCCACCAACCTCTGGCTGCGTGAGTGAGGGCGTATGATCCATTCTGACAGCCGAAGTGTAATAATCGATCACATGCTTGCCTGACGACCTAAATAATTCCTCAGCTTTAACAATCTGCTCAATGCTAGGATTGAAAAGTCTAAAATAAGTTCTATCAACACCGGGGCCTAGAAACTTCTCCAAATCTGTAATTGGAAAGATCAGTTTGTTTATTTTTCTCTCCTGCAGCTTGGCTATGCTCTGCATAGAAGCATGGTTTGACATGGCCCGGCACACGTCACATGATGAAAAATGTCCACTGAGTAACAGCCTGCTCCTTAATATGGTCCACATATTCTGCCCACAAATGAGACTGACTGAGCCTGAAAAAGAAGCAAAAACCTGTTAAATTAGATTAAATACCCATCAGGATCATCAGCAGTGAAGAGATATTTATTTTCTGGTTAACAGACATACTGTTATAGTAGGGGTGTAAGTTTGAAATATTTGAATAACCAATATATTTTGTTGATTATTTAACACAATCAAAATAAATAATAATACAAATTGCCATTTCCAGAGTCAGTAGTTGCAAGCAGAAGCCGCTCTTCTAGTGTTGTCTGCCAAGAGTAAGAATGTGCATATTTCAGGGCTCGACAAATCACAGGCGCCAGGTCGCCATGGTGACTAGGATTTGTTGTCCCATTCAGCCTTCGAGGTGGTCAGCTGCCTATAAGTGGAGGCCGGCGGGCGGGCGGGCGACTACTCGCACGCCCATGCTCTTTATGAGCTCAAGAAGAGCAATAGCGTGTGGTCGGCCAGCTGAGAGAGTGGGCATGTGTGTGGTCGGCCAGCTGAGAAAGAGTCAGTGAGTGTGTGTGCGTTTGTCTGTCTGTCAGGTGCGTGTGTGTATGTGTGTGTGTTTAGGTGACTGGTCTTCATTCAATCACATGGGAAAGCGGTTTTTACTTCCCTTCCCCCCCCACCCGCCCTGACGCTGAGCTGGTCTCGCCGCAGCTGGCCCTGCCTCCATGATTGCAATCTTCAATCTTGATGATCTCAGCCAATCCAATGCTTTCCCCTAGGAAAGCACTAGGAGACTATTGCGCATGTGTGGCAAAAGACTGTGCTGCGCCAATCAGCATCTCCTCATAGAGATGTATTGAATCAATGCATCTCTATGGGGAACGTTCAACAACTCCATGCAGAGCGTGGAGACATTAAACATAGGTGCTGTGCAGCACTGATCCAGGATGCACCTCTAGAGGGCGTCTGAGTGACTATCACTAGAAGTGTAACTAGTCAATAATGTAAATACTGCCTTTTCCCTTTAATATTTGTATTTTTGAAATACAAAAACCTGGCTCATAACTTTTTTTGCTGGCTCCTAGATTCTGAGCAAACTCGTCACGCCCTGGCATATTTTACTACATGGTAACTGCATTGTTCTATTAGCAGAAGAGAGAAGTGAGCGATGTGCATCCTTACTTTCATGCGCGCCTCCCATTCACAGAGGCAGCAAGACGTTCATGGATATGTAGAGGAGGAGTAGTGGTCCCTAAGAATCCTGTGTCTAAGTCCAGCTTTGTCTGCCGACAATACCTTTTTAAAGTGATACAGACGGGAGATGCTGTTTGCCACACAATCAGAGTAATTTACAAAAATTTAAATTGGTTGGATATTCAAGGTGAATTGAACAAGAACTTCAAATGTAAGACTAAAGTAGCTGAACTGGAAGCATAGCAGACATACGTTTCTCAGTCACAGCTTGGCTATTTTAACCTAACATTTTGCAACCTGATTTTTATTCAGTTCAGCACAAATAAAGCTGTGAACATGCTCCCCATGTCTATCGAATTATAACACAAACAGGATGATACATAATGTCCCAGATGTAAAATCACTGCATGTACACATAGGGTAAACATGTATTTATCCACATTTACAAAAGGGAGCTACTTTACACACTGCAGCTGTTTGTGGACTACATTTCCTGTGAATCTCAGTGAACACATGCAGTACCAGGGTTAGTTATTATTATTATTATGATATTTATAGAGCGCCGTCAAATTCCGCAGCGCGTTACAGTGGGTGGACGAACAGACATGTAGTTGTAACCAGACAAGTTGGACACACAGGAACAGAGGGGTTGAGGGCCCTGCTCAATGAGCTTACATGCTAGAGGGAGTGGGGTAAAATGACACAAAAAGGTAAGGTAGTTATCACTCACTCATTCATACATATTATATTATTATATTATTTTTACTCACATTTAGTAATGGCCCTTTAACCTGCCAATGTTTTATAATGTTAAAGTAGTATCTATAAATATAATAATATATATGTATGTATGTAAATATACCCACATGTCCTAGAGCTCAGTCATTCCCAGCCACACTCACTATATCACCTATAAGCATGTCTCAGATCCAAGAGAGGCGCACATCCGCGTTCCAAGCCTCGCTCTGGATACGCCCGCCCATCTAGTAACCAAGAGCCTGGCTCTGCGCTGACACGGGGGATTGTGGTTGGCTCTCCCCAGAGCCAATCAGAGCCACGAGCCAATCAGAGGGTGGCTCGCCGACGGTGAACCGCATGACGATTTTAGTGTGCGCCCTGCTGAGAACACCATGAAGTGGCAGCCAGATGGAGAGCTCCTCAGAGTGTGAGATATGGGGCTGGGGGCAGAAGGGGAGACTGTGAACAGGGGCTGGGGGACGCTGTGAACAGGGGAGGCTGGGGGGACGTATGAACAGGGGGCTGGGGAGGACTGTGAACAGGGGGCTGGGGGGACTGTGAACAGGGAGAAACAGGGGGGACTGTGAACAGGGGGTTGGGGGGACTGTGAACAGGGGGTTGGGGGGGACTGTGAACAGGGGGCTGGGGGGGACTGTGAACAGGGGGCTGGGGGGGACTGTGAACAGGGGCTGGGGGGACTGAACAGGGGAGTAAGAGGGACGACTGTGAACATGGGGGGCTGGAAATGAAGGGGGACTGTGAACAGGGGCGGGGAAGAGGGGACGACTGTGTACAGGGGCTGGGAGACAGGAGCGACTGTGGGGGCTGGGCAGAGGGGGACTGTGAACAGGGGGCAGGGGAAGAGGGGACGACTGTGTACAGGGGGCTGGGACGACGACTGTGAACAGGGGGCTGGGGGGGACTGTGAACAGGGGGGGAAGTTACTCATAATGAAAGTGGGTTCAGGTCATTAATAAAACTGCAGGTTCCCTGATAGAACTACAACTCCCATGATTCCCAAAGTGGCATTTTGTGCACCATAATCACTGCAGCTCATTGTGTTGGTGGTGGTGGTGGTAGGGGTCTCCGAAGGCCATCCCCCAATTTTCTGTCAAACAATTTTTTAGAAAAATTAAGACTCACCCCAAGCTGCCTTACCTCACTGCAGTGTCCTGGCAAGATTTAGGGAACTTTCAGCACTCCAGATGTTGTGCACTACATCTCCCATAATGCTCTTACAACCATATCGCTGACAAAGCATCAGGGGAGATGTTGTCCGCAACATGTGGGCTGCTGGAGGTTGCCTACCCATTGGCTGGGGTAACATGGACGTTACGTGTCGGATTACCTGGACAATCTTGTGCTGATGGTGGGTTAGCCCAGTACAACCAATAGTACATACTAGTTCTCTCAATGGGCGGCCAGTGATAGGATGAGAGTGTCAATTGAAGCTGCTACCCTATCCCGGCTAACCCATCGTGATATTGCAGCGCAGAGAGTAAGAAAGTTGGGAGGCAGACGTGCTGGGTGCAGGAGTCTCACCTTCAGTTTAAAACCATTACAAACCATTTTAACACATGGGGCTAAAATGGCGCACTGACACTCATGCCCTCATAACAACTTTAATGAGCTAAACATTTTATGGGAGTAGGAATGTTTGTTTAACTGATTTATCTCTGTGGCTGGTTTACACTGGAATAATTTTGGGGTTACCTCGAGGTAACACATTCTTTATGATAGATGTTGCTACAGATGTATTTGATAAGTTACTTATGGTCTCTAAAGTATGTACTGGTGATATTTTCTCTGTAGATCAAACCAGCAGTAAACCCAAGGGACATGG